CATCATTGCTTGCTCAGTTGGGACTGTGGATCGTGTTACCTTGAAACGGCCCTTGATATCACGATATATGATTTAATAGAGGTTTGAATGTAAAACACAAGAGTGTAAAGGCAATTCGAGTCGTATCTGAACGGCAGTGGATGGAATACCGACTTCCTCTGGTATATATCAGAATCTGGCCTTGCAGCTAAAGCTTCACAGATGACCAGAGTAAGGAAGACATACTCATTTGCCATGTATCGTGTATATTTGCATTGATAAGCCCAGCCGTGGGGTTTTGTACATCATATGGCCCTTGCATGGTTCCAAGCATCATTCTAACCGGGATATTTAGAGTTGCTGGCGCCGAAACGGCTGATCAACATACATGTAGTATAATAACTAATCAAGCAAGGGGGCATATCCTTCGATTTTGCCAAGTAGAGCCATAATGAGAACACATTAGGAAACAAGCCAAGAATCTTGCTTTTCTGATATGGTAGCCCCTAGCCACGAAAGCCAAAAGATGAGCTTACCCACCAAATAAGCAAGATATCCTTCAAAATGGAGAAGTGCTTCGCACTGATTACATCTAGAAATGGATTTGTCCACAACGGAAAAATCCCGAGGTCTCCAAGTGGACTCAAAAACCTCGCCCTGACAGGCGGACTGCAGGGGCCACCGGGCGATCCACAGAACAAAGGCCAGGATGAGCTTAATGTATTTAGGTCTCGGATAGTAGAATAGCATTGGCTTTCGGGGTATATGCAGACTCGCATTAGAAGAGACATGACGCTGGCCAGCCTCTACAGTAGTTCTCCTGTCCCAGTGACATCCAGAAGATTAAGGTGAAACGGTGGCGCGATTACAGTACAGGAGCAACGCCGCAGACTGCCAATGATGAGCCAAGTAATAGAGGGCTGACCAATGGAATTGTACCAGAATTACATATGGCGCCGGCGGTGTATTAAGCATACAGAGGTATCGTCAGGCGATACATAAACAATAGTTCAAGTGCAGCTGCAGGTCATATGCAGAAATGTGATAATAGCCCGAAAAGAGGACACATCTTATTGAGTGCGCAAAATAGCCCCCTACCTATTCTACTACTTGTACACTGTACTCCGTACTGTAGCTCATATTAACGTGGGGCGAAGATCCATGGAACGTCAACGGAAGAGAGTAGGAAACTGGTATACGTCCACGGGTAGTAAGTGTAAATAAGTATAGACGTCAATAGTGTAAACATCAGTTAATATAAAAAAGAAATGTCAAAACAGTCGGTGTAAGAGGATCGACGGGGCCGAGACTTCAGGAGGGGAAAGCTAAAGGGGCTAAAGTGGATTTGCTCTCCTGACTCCCTTTTCCTTTCTCCAGCCTCTTGTGCGGGTTAAGACTGTGAACTGTCGCTTTTACTCGATTGAGCTCAAGTGGAAATCCTAGCTATGCAGTGGATGCCCGCGCTTCTGTCCCGCGTCGAAATATAACCTACTTACGCGCCCTGTGATCCATACATGATTTCCACAATGGAAGGTCCTGAGCCAGTATCCCCCGGTCCGCACGCGTTGAACCACGATTCCATGGTCACCGTCTCTCTATCGGATATCCAGTCCAGTTCCGAACATACACAACCCGATTGGCGCAACCTCGACATTCCTCCAACGCCAGTGGTGGCAAGCCACATGGAGGAGACCGACTCTTTTGGCCCAGGAATACAGGACGGCAGGACAACCCCTACCCCCGAGGACGATATGCCGACACCTGACGCGAACGGAGAGAAGCAATTGGAGGAAGGGGACAATGACGTGAACTGGGAGAATCTGGACAAGACCGAGGAGCAAGAACCGCGTGGGGAAGGGTCCGACGATGTGGGTTGACAGTTGCGAGTGGTGGAATGCGGGCACTGACATTCTTTCTAGTCCACCGCCCTCCTCCTCGCTCGGCTCGAACAAGAGAACAACGCGTTAGCGACGAACCCCAAATCAGGCATTACCAATGTTCCACGCAAGACACATCAGCGGCAATCCCGCTCGGAGTCGCTGCACCAGATCAAGCGACTCATCAAGGACCCGGCGCGGGCTGAGCTGCGATACTCTCAGCTGCCTCCTCCACCGATGACCGAGTTGGAGTTTTGGGCTGCGCTGGTGGCTGATTATCATCAGACGGCTCAGCGCTTGCCGACATTGACCTCGAATAAGATCCAGGGAGGTGTACCCCCGCCACTGCGAGGAGTGGTGTGGCCAAGTCTAGCGGGTGCTCGCGACCCGACCCTTTTGGAAGAGTTCCAGCGACTACAGGGAGAAAGTAGTCCGTATGACGGGCTGATTGGCAAGGATATTGGTCGGAGCTTCCCCAATGTGGAGATGTTCCGCGACCCAAATGGCGAGGGCCAGCAGATGCTCGCTCGAGTATTAAGATGTTTCAGTCTTTATGATACCAAGATTGGTTATTGCCAAGGGCTTGGATTTGTGGTTGGCCCTCTGCTCATGCATATGACAGATGCTGAGGCCTTCTGTGTTTTGGTCCGGTAAGTCCCTTTAGGTGATGGTGGAAGACGATGGAAGTTGGACAAAGTACTGACTGGAGTATAGTCTCATGGACCACTACAACCTCCGAACATGCTACCTTCCCGATCTCTCTGGTCTTCATCTTCATGTCTACCAATTCCAGAATCTCCTCGCGCGTCATCGACCTGCTCTCTTTGAACACTTAGAGTCACTGCATGTTGAACCCGTTTACGTGTCACAGTGGTTCTTGTCATTCTTTGCGGTAGCATGTCCATTACCAATGCTCCTCCGAATTTACGACGTCATCTTCCTGGAAGGCGCGTGTGAGACTCTAATGCGAGTTGCGCTTTCCTTGATGCAGCGTAACGAAAAGAGAATTCTTGCTTGCACCGAGTTTGAGGACGTGATGCAATTGCTATTATCTCGAAGCCTGTGGGACACGTAAGTCTTTGTGATCGCACAAACAAAGAATTACACTGACTCGTGACACAGATACGCGTTCAACGCAGATGACTTGGTCAATGACTTTGTTTCTCTCACCTCTCTCGTGACAAACGAGAGCCTTCAAACCCTTGAAGCCAGTTACAACCAATCCCAGGGTAACCCTACTGGGATCTCCTTCCCCCAGATGCAGGCCACAGCTTCTGGCTTCCTTGGGAGGCTATGGGCTGGCTCTTCCAACTCTCATCAATCAGTCAAATCACTCAACCCGAACTCGAGCCCGACACGTCCTAACAGCACCATCCGTCGCTCAACTTCTAAACAAAGCCTCACGTCCACCCTTAACTCTGTCGAAACTACCTCTGACGCGAGTACTGCTCCTACGGAGCTTTCAACTGCTACGACAGGCACCGATGGCCATAAATCACGTGTCAAATCTAACATGTCCTCACATCACAAGGACCGCGACCTTCATACTCAGATTGAAGACCTGTTAATGGCACTCAGCGACTTACAACGCCAACAAGCCGATTTGACACGTGAATTGCAACAGGAGAGAGAGGACCGTGAAGAAGATCATGCCTTGGCCAAGGAAATGTTGAGCCTCATCCAAGAAATGCCAGCTGAAACACCGACAGAATTGATCAACAAGGCCAAGGCACGTTTTGAACCTAGCGTGCCAAGGCGTATTTCAATCACCCAAACCAAGCTCCAACTAAACGACGATGTCGCCCGATGGAAGGAAATGCACGAGGTGGAAGCCGGCCGTTGTTTGGACCTGACCCGTCGCATCGACGATTTCGAAAAAGAGAACTCGTCTCTGAAAGAACAATTACGAGAAGCCCGAGGCCGGATTCAGGATGGCTATCGCGATCGACAGCGACTCGAGCGCATGAACCGAGAACTACGTACCATTAAAACACCCACTTCAGCTTCAGCGACACCACCAGATACGTCCCCTTCATCTGCGACTGATTATGGAGAGGCGCACTCCCCCACGAATGGTCTGCGTGAGCTCAAGCTCACCCGCACCAACTCCACGAAGAGCCCCACCTACAGCAAACGATCCAGTAGCCTAGGTCTCCAAAACGTGTTGGCAACCGAGAACAATAGACCGGCTGGCGAAGAGGCCTTGCTCATGGAACTGGTCACTTCCAAGACTGCGGAGGCAGTCGCAAAGCAGGAGCTTGAGGAAGTGAAGGGCAAGCTCGAGTCATTACGAAAGATGATCAGTCCATCCCAGGCGGCCAGGGCAGAGAACCGCCATTCCTTCATTGGGCTTTCGCCATCACGAATGAGCCTTGCTAAAGCTGCCACAGAACCGCCAAAGCAAGTGATGACACCCCCTGCCACCAACACCGGGGGAGGGGGCTTCTTCAGTGGATGGGGTCGACGGGCCAATAATGAAGCCCCAGCATGATAGGGGTTGAGAACTACAGGTAACGATATTGAAGAGCCTGCTTGTATGAAACTTGCAGCTGCCCATTACAATGGGTTGTCATATTGGATTGTCGGAGTGATGTTTAGGAGCTTGTTGATTCTGTATCTGAGTACATAGCGATATTCCCCCTTTTGAGAGCACATACCTGGAGATCTCATGAAATGCATAGAACTTAATTGCTTGCATCCCGGAACATCACGCCATTCTAGACAAATAAATACCACACGATAAGTGAGACAAAATGTTCGTATTTGTAGATCCGGCACTTCTCGGAAGCTGCCGAACGCGAGCGATAACCGTCCACGTTTCTATGCGATCGACACATTGTACAGCCAGTATTAACTTAACTTATAAATTAGAACAAATGCCAATCACTCGACTCTTTCCATCTGTATGTCTTTGTGAACCCCTTTTATTGATAAACAGTGCCTGGAAAACACTTGGAGTCTGGGCAAGACCCAACATGCAATATCTCCAGCCTGCGATTGGCCCGATCAGCTCGATAGCCCTGAAGAGAAACCAGACTACGGCGCCTTGAAAGCCGAGCCAAGCCGCTACGCCTCACGCGAAAAATAGAAAATGGCGAGGCTCCCAGATTATCTCTTCGCGTTTTGTATGCTTCTTTCGCCGTGATGGACTCTCTCGTGGCGCTGCCGGGGTTGTTTGGCTCTCCGGGGCGCCGTTTTGCTGTTGCGGCTCTTCTCCTCTTGCTTGTGTTTTTGATTGTTCCTTATTATAGAGAGCAGGCTATCGCTGTTGTGCCATTACGCGCCAAATTGACAGAGTAATTGCATGCCCCGTTTCTTCTCTTGTGTTATTACTGGTTTCTCAGCGCTTTCTGACTTATGCTAGACCTATCGAGGTTCCCGTTGATCCTTTTCCGAGTGATTATGCGGGCCAACAGCCTATAGACTCACCGCAAGTCATCAATGACCCCTATCCAGACTATAATAGTTTGCAATGGATCTCCGCGACGAAAGGATCGTATCAGCCATGCATTGGGCCCCATGGACGACTTCTCAGTCGTCAAGAGGAAGACACGATGATGAGCGGCTACCATTGGAACATCTCAGGTGTGACAACAGATACAGGAAAGGTCGTTTAAAAGGAACCTAATCGTGAATGTAGATTTCCCCACGCCCATTTTTGGGTCATACGAGTCATGGAATCTAAATCGCAGTCTTTGCGCCGATCGCCACTCTCGATATAGTGCTTACGGATATACCGAGGGAAACGAGACATCTCGAATGCACGATTGGCATAGTGAATCATTTAGATCTGGCGAGGCAGCCGAAATCGACTGGGAGCATGTGGATTGGGCCCAGTTACAACAGGAATGCCTGCAGCGCAATGCCCTTCGATATATTACGACCGAGCCAAATGTGAAGAGTATCTGGGGTCTTTACAAGTCGCTCGACCCGGAGATGCATAAGACGCCGCCTCCGGAATCATCTCTTAAGCATTTGGAGGAAACAAGAAAAGCAGCCCAGCCTAAGCCGAAGCCTCGGACGGGTGTTATTTTGCGCTCGTGGATTGGTATGGAGTATACCGAGAACGATTTGTACAACATTCGGTCTATGATCATGGAGCTGTCTCTCTACTCGGGCGGAGAGTACGAGGTTATTCTCCTAGTCGACTGCCAGGACAAGCAATTGCCCAAAGAGAAGGATGAGGCTGCCTGGACCGCATTCAAAGAGAAGCATTTGCCCCAAGAACTGCGAGGATTGGCTGTCTTTTTCAATGACAAAATGCTCAAGGACTGGTACCCTGAGATTGATGTCCATGTGTATGTGTTCTCTCTGAGAAAAAGAGGCTTGTTCCACTAACTCCCTACTAGAGCGATATTGCAATATTTCCAGCCCACACAGATCTTCTCACGGCTGCACCCTCAGTACGAATACATCTGGCAGTTTGAGATGGATGCACGGTATACCGGGCATATGTACGACCTCTTACACCAAGCAACAGAGTTCGCGAAACAGCAGCCCCGGAAATATCTATGGGAACGTAACTCCTATTTCTACATTCCCGCCGTCCATGGCACCTGGGAGGAATTCACCAAAAAGATAGACCAGGAAATGCCTGGACATGACAGTATCTGGGGCCCTCACCCTGCGGAGGGAATCGAGATCGAAGGACAATCTAATTTGCCACCCGTTCCACATCCAGAAGAAGAGACCGGAATATGGGGTGTAGGGGAAGAAGCCGAGCTCATTACCTGGCTACCCCATTTCGATCCGACTGGTACGGACTGGCCCTTCCGAGACCGGGTCTTCAATTTTCCCCAAGAACAAGAGACGCCCCGACGAGCTGCGGTCGTAGCTATGTCTCGCGTCTCGGCGCGGCTACTTCGCCTTTTGCACCATGATAAAGTGAAAATGGGAATTGGGCTCGCTTCGGAGATGTCGCCTATATCTTGGGCTTTGTACTATGGTCTGAAGGCTGTTCAGATTCCTCACCCGATATACCATGAGTCCAAGTGGGATCCACAGATATTGGATCGCCGGGCCAATCCGGGTGAGCCTGGAAAGGTCAATGCTGGAATCGACAGTATCTGGAGTTGGGACAAGCATAATGATATCATTTACAACACGACTTTCATGTTCAACTCGAAGTTTTCAGAGAAGTTGTATAGAGCCTGGATGGGCTTTGATGGCGCCGAAGAGGTACGTGATTTGCCTTGGACCAAACGTTCGTTTTTCTTTCTAACGGCAAACAGTGGGAAAAAGAGAATAGTCGACTTTGTCTTCCCCCTATTTTCCTACATCCAGTCAAGAACCTGGAATCGAAGAAGAGAAAAGTGGGCTGAGTCGAGGTCAAGTTTGCTGAGAATAATAGAGAGATACCCATGCATGACAAATGTTCATTTGTAGAAGGCGGAAAAGAGGTGCAGCACAACCTAAGAAGGCTCCATTCGAATCCACTTGTTTCTGAAAAAAACAAATCCTCCTCGCAGGGTTGATGGCTTCGAAGTAAATCAAGGCGTAATCAACAAATTCAATCATGTACATGTAAACAGATCTAGCTACTCAAACCTGATTGCGCAATTTCAATCACATTGGAGTCTGTAACAACGGTCTGAAGTCTATGGCGATCCCGAATAATGGTCTCCACAACTGCAGAAAAGGTTCAATTTGATGAGATCGCTACAATTGTGCAATGCGTGATCAAGTATGAAATTCAAACAAATGATCTTCTTCATTGAGGAGAATAATAATGTTAGCTCAGCCACCGAGTTAGGCTAATTCAAGAGATGCGAAATTGTCGTATTTGTTGGTTTTTAGGGCCTAGAATTGAGAGGTCCCGATCTAGATGCTTGGCGGAGGCAAAAACTTTTCTATAATTACATGTATGTACCTCGGGCATTTTATCAGATAGGCAGATGTGAAGATGTGCAGTTGTTCAGTAATCAGATATTGATGTCCGGCAGACTCTCCATATTTTTGAGAAATAAGAGCTGAAACAGCCGAGGACTGGTATGCTAGCAGTGCAAATTGTGTTTATGCCAACGTTATGCAACTTTTGCAGAACATTCGCCCCTGCGTGCTGCGCTACTTCAATAGCTTCAGAACTAGTTTGGTCTGATTCAGATCCGAGGCGCTCCCACTTTCCCGCTTCCAGGATTAAAAAATCTACACATGCGGCTCTAGCCCTGCAGAGCTTGGCATTGCGTGTTTTCAAGAACAGTGTTCAATAGTTAAGGCTGACAGGATCCGTGGAATGAGGCGGAGACAATCGATCTGTACCTATCATTCCTATGGAGACCTCGTGTGGTTCCCCCGATATAAAGAAGCCCCGTTTTCTCTCAGACATTCAACGGATAAATTGCCCGGTTGGGACTTCACCGGAGGCGCCGAGATTAGGGCTCGTTTCACTCCAGCCAACTTTCGGAATGGGGAAATCGACAGCTGAACCCCCGAAATGCACTGGCTGAGTGGATTTAGACCGAGATCTACGAAGCCATCGTGCGAAATAGATAACCTTAACACGTGAGACTGTTCTCCACGCTCAATAGGGACATTGGTACCGAAGCCGTAACAAAACTGGCGGGCTGCCCCGGCTCAGGATGTTTTTCATTTCAATCTTCATTGGGGTTGTTCTCATTCATTTATAACTATGAGGTTCCTTTTGTTTTTCACTGTTTTGGCTCTACTGATCGTGGGGCTACACGCGTCTGAGCCGGGTGCGACCACATTCCCTTCCTGCGCAGTATGTATACTTCTTCAAGAAAGTCAAGTTTGTGGCTGACAGGTCCTAGCTTGCCTGCGACAAAGCATTGTTCTCGGACTGCTCCCTGAGCAATAAGACATGCTTCTGTGAGAGCAACACACGCCCGACCGCTCTGCTCGACTGTGCCGCCAGCAACTGCACGACAAAGGAGTACTTTAGTGAGTTTCACCAGTGTTTGATCGTCTATCGCATAGCCTAGTTCTAACAGTCTCAGCCACGAGACGACTCTATGAGCAGAAATGTGACATCACACCCCTCAAAGGCCCTTCTGTGGTCGAGGGCGCAACTTTAGTCCCTCTCATTCTCGCCACGTTTTTCTTCGTGGCGCGAATTGTGGCCAAGAGCAGCGGTCTGGCTGGTGGATGGGGATGGGATGATTATACGATCATTATTTCATTCGTGCGTACCACTTGTCATGTCCTTGGGTGCGATGTTAACGGTCTTGCAGGTTCTCGGCATTGCCATCTACGCCTTGAATAGTTACAGTAAGCCTACCCCCCATGTGGAATTTGACAAGAGGTACCAACAAAATAGTGATCCGCTACGGCTTCGGTCGGAATATCTGGGATGTCCCATTCGACGACATCACCGAGTTCTACAAGGTTCGTCTCCCCGTTTGCAGCCCATTGCTAAGCTAACAAACGCAGTTTTTCCAAGGTCTCGCCGTGATGTACAAGCTTCAGATATCTCTGGCCAAGATCTCAGTCTGCCTTTTCCTGCTGCGGATTTTCCAATCCCGCACGTTCCGCTATATGGCATATGCACTCATCGGCATCAACGCTGCCACTGGCATCACTTGGGCCTGTGTGGATTCTTTCCGTTGCTTGCCGACCCACTTGACATGGACTGGCTGGATGAATGAGGAAGAAGGACATTGCATTGACTTTATCTCTTCGATTCTTGTCAACTGTCTGGTCAACATCTTTGTCGACTCAGTCATGATTGTCATGCCGGTATATGAGGTCGTTCAGTTGCAGTTGCCTCTGAAGAAGAAGCTTACTGTGGCACTGATGTTTGTTGTGGGCTCACTGTATGCATTCCCCCTTGTGTCCTTGCTGAGCTTCTGAGTATTTTGCTGACCGTTGCTATAGCCTTACTATCATTGCCATTATCCGAGTCGTCGTCTTCTGGAACCACCGCTGGGGTGCCAACCAGACCCTCGGTCTATACCCTCTCATCCACTGGTCTGTCATTGAGACTCAGATTGCCGTCATGTGTGCCTGTCTCCCTGCATTCAGAGCCCTGATCGGTCGCTGGTTCCCTGGCCTTCTGGGAGGCTCTCGGGGCCGAACATATCCATCGAATGCGGCGGAATATGTTAGGCAAACCGAGGGTAACAGCAATATCAACAAATCTGTCAGCTACTCGGTGAATTACGCGTCGCGCTCAGAGAATAGTGTGGTAGAGTTGGTGGACGTGGATAGGAAATACGGTGGTCATTCCTAGTTCTTAATAGAGCTGTTGTACCGTCAAATAACTTACATAATATTACAAAAGATATTCCGAGAGAAGGACCAAGCATCTGATATAAGTATGTAGTGTAGCACCGGCAAAACCGTGCCCGGTTTAGAAGAACACCATCTTGTTCTACCCTATGTCCTCAATATCATTGTTTATATCTTGACGCAAACCATTGGTAGTAGAGGAGAGGAAGGAAACAGAAATATAGTACAAAGGATATCATTTACACCATAAATAAGGGTACTGGCTCGGGTTAGGAAGCATATAGGGCAGAAAACTAGAGCTTCAAGGATACGTTAGTTGCACCGCTCATATGGCAAGGAATATTAACTGGCAGCACATTTCTCATTTCCTTGTTGCACCTGAGAAAGGTACATTGGAAAATTACAAAGTGTGCAAATAAATTGGGGTTGGTGCTCAAACCATCTGAGACTTTGAAATGAGCAGGGGGCAGTGAACCAGCAAAGGAAAAGAAAACACAAAAGGCGACGCAATGCCTGGAAAAAAGAAAGTGTCCCAAGCCAACCCCAGACTGTGCAGAATCACTTCAGAGGGCCTCTCCATTTATGCAGTCTCGGCTCGGTTCATAGCGCGGCTGCGTCATCCTGCTGGCCATTGTCCTAGTGCTCATTCTTGGCGGGGCCCTGCTCCTCCTCGTCCTCCATGATATCAAGCTTCTGTCGGAGACGAACAAAACGCATGCGAGCGGCAGTTGCTTTGATGCCGAGCTGCTGGCAAACGATGGCAAAGTCGACCTGCGGATGACAAATCTCAAGTTAATCATATTTCATGAAATTAAGATAGTGCTGTAAGCTTACCTGGGCGTCAAGAGACTTGAGGCACGTCCAAAGAAAGAGGAGGTTCTTGTCGGAGTCAGACTTCGAAGGGCTTTTACCGGCAGAGGTTGAAGCCTTCGTGACCTTCTTCGGGGTTGCAACTTTGGGTCCCATTTTGGAGTGGGTAATAAATGACTGAGTACGATCTTCGCTTAGATATATCTGTAGAGGGATAATCAGGCGTGGAAACCAGAAGCATGAAAGTGTTTGCTGTGGAAGGAAATAAAGAGAGAGAGAGGGAGACGAGGATGAAAGTCTTTTTTATGTCTGAAGTGCTGAGCAAACAACGATGTTGAGGAATCTCATGTGAAGAACCCCAGGGAAGCTGGATGGGATCAGTTCAATCACCTCATGTGAGAAAGCTGTTCTCTGGGATAGTGGCTGGTCTCACCACATATTTTGTAGCATATCTACATCGCTATTTTTCTTATTCGACAAACACGACTCACTCAAAAGCAGACGGACATATACATAGTAAGCAAAATGCAAGCAGTCTCTGCTACTACACTTTTCGTAAGGCCATGTCGACTCAGTGATGGATCATTTAAATTATCTGATCTGCAAAAAAGCAAAAGCAAAAGCAAAAGCAACGCAAACGCAGAAACAAAAGCCAGAAAACATAACCAGCCATGTCAGTTCTCCACAGAACCCTATGATATGGGACCTCACTTCCTCCTTGTAAACGGACATTCAGCCCTCATCGGCCTGTTGGACTCATAGTTGAGCTGCCTCATCGTCCTCCAGCTCCTCCTTCACCTTGCGCTGCTCGTGGCTCTCGCTCTCAGGCTGACCATTGTCCTCAAGCTCAGTCTTAGCGGTGCCCTTCTGTACCTCATTGTCCATAGCTTCGATCTTGGATTTCAGACGCATGTAGCGCATACGGGCGGCATTGGTCTTGATGCCGAGGCCTTGAGCAACTGCCGGGAAGTCAAACTGTATGTGGACAACGTCAGATAATATTTCATCAGGAAACGATACACTTTTGCCCTTACCTGAACATCTGCAGCCTTGAGACAAGACCAAAGAAAGAGGAGGTCCTTGTCGATGTTGATGTCCTTGGGCTTTGTGGCCTTGCTGGGAGTGCCTTGGGCAGAAGAGGGCTTGGTAACCTTCTTGGGAGTGAGGGTTTTGGCCATTTTGGCGTTCGTGAGGGAACAGCGTAGAAAGTCCTGTAGGAAACTTTTGGAATGGGTAAAATGATGGGATGGAAGGGATAAAGCTGCTTGGCTTGGAAAGCTAAAATATGTTTGGTTGGGGGAAAAGGAAAGAGAAGTTCGATGAGGATGAGGCTGATGCTTTATAGCGCTGAGAAACGACGGCGAGGACTGTTGATACTATTACTACTCTCGCGAGAGTAGGAAGGATATGAATTATGAACAAGCTGTAAACTCCTGGTTTCTCACTATACAAAGCCCTCATGCAGTAACGCCCTCAATGATTACTTTGATCACACTCTCCTTTCCCTGCCGCACTAGTTCAAAAGCATCCTCAGCCTGTTCGAACTTGTATCGATTAGTGATAAGTCGCTTCACATCAATCTTGCCACTGGAAATGAGATCAACTGCTGTTGGGTAGCATCCGACTGTGTAGCGAATAGAGCCTCTGATGGTCAAATCGCGAATGCAGGCAGTGGTGATGGGGAAGACGACATTCTAACAGCAAAGTGAGCATTATCCCATAACCACAAGATGTAGCATCCAACTCACCTCTCGTCCCATTCCAGCTTGCACGTAGGTGCCCCCTTTCTTGGTAAGATGAACGCCTGTTTGGATACATGCCTCCGCTCCTGTGGCTTCAAGTACCACATCCGGCCCTTCGCCCAGATCGAACTTCTCCTTCATTATCCGTGCCAGCTCCTCGCTCCAAGCACAGCTGTCCTTCCCATCTGGCTTAGGGGGCGGCACAAATACATCGTCGGCACCAAATGTACGTGCAAAGTCCGCACGCGACTGGCTGATATCAACACCGATCACTTTTCGAGCTGAGTACGCCTTGCTCACTGCCTGACAGAGCAGACCGATAGGCCCACATCCAAATACGACGATCGTCTGATTCGGTCTCACGTTGCCTACTTTGGTGATCTGAACTGCTACTGCGACTGGCTCGACCAGTGCACCCTCTTCAAGGTCCATGTGGGATGCCAGCGGGTAGCAGAAGTCGGCCTGGGTGATGTAGTATTTGGAGAGGGTCCCATCATGGGGAGGAGTTGCTGCAAAGACTGTGTCCGGACACAGATTATACGAGCCGCTCCGACAATACTCACAGCTTGGCACTGTCAACCTAGGCACACGACAAGGTCGACACGATGCCACTTACTGTCTGCATGGCACGCCTGGTTCGATCGCGACTCGATCTCCGATTTTGAAGTTCTTGACTGCAGATCCGACCTCTACAACGGTGCCCGAGCTTTCATGCCCGAGAACAATCGGAGATTCAAGGACGAAGTCTGTATGTACCGAGTCAGTCTTTTCTTCGTCAATTTTTGCTGTACTTACCTCCAATTCGTCCTCGCTGCCAGTAGTGCACATCACTTCCACAGATTCCCGTCTGCGCAATCTGGACTCGTACGTCCCATGGATCTTTCAAAGTTGGAACTGGACGGTCTTCAAAGCCGACATCCTTGACAGCTCGAAGGACGAATGAGGGGTTTGTTTGCTGTAGGTTGTCCATAATCAGGTTGGGAATCAGGACTTGGAAATTGTTGAAGCATGAGACATCGCGGCGGCTTGCCTTTTACATTATTCTTCAGCTTGTGTACTTTGCAGATGTATTCCCCCGCCGTATGACACTTCACCCCACGCGGAGCACCCGCTCCGCTGACGGAGGATCCACCCCGCTCACAATGCCAAGTCTTTCTTGCACTCCAAAGTTATCTGCTTTCTCTACTGGTGGTTTGGCTTTGGAGTTCGGCACAAATTGTAAGCGTGGCAGAGTTAGACCCGGTCATCTCGACTGTGAATCAGTGAGAGTGACCCGAAATGCGATGAACAGTCCAAAATATGTACAGATCCCATGCTGGGCGCTTAGGTTGTAGTTTTGTATAGAACTTCATCTCTAGACGCAGGAAGTATCGGACCACGTGCTGTTTCGCAAGATCTAGCAGGCTTAAGCTTTAATTTCGCTGTAATCTTATTGCTCTATCGACAGGTGTACCCCCCATCAACTACAACATCACACCCCGTTGTGTATGTACTAGCATCACTTGCGAGATATAGATAGACGCCCTTCAGTTCCCGAGGATCCGCATCTCGCTTTAGAGGTGTGAGACTGTACCATTCCTCCTTCATCTCAAAAGGACAATCTCCACTCATCGCAGTGTCAACATAGCCAGGGCTCACGCAATTGACACGGGCAAAGCCAGCCCATTCCACAGCGAGCGACTTGGCCAAATGAATGACACCTGCTTTACAAGCATTGTAGCATGCCTATGGACAGTCAACACTCTTCTCCCAAAACCATCGAGTCGCTCACCTGTTGTTGTGGGACATTGGCTGCATGTCCTGACATGGAGGCTGTGAAAATCATATTCCCTGATCCTTGCTTTCGGAATATCGCACCAGCAGCTCGAGCACTGTAGTACGCGCCTGAAAAATCCACATCCACCACGCGCTGCCAGTCTTCCAACTTGTCATCTAAGCCGCCTGCTTTGGAGGGAACCCCTGCGTTGGCAATCATCACGTCGAGTCTACCAAAGTCACGCACCACTGCTTCGGTTGCGGCTTGGACCTGCAGGAATGCAATTAGGAAATTTTCTTCTTATTCTTTAGATTGACAAGACGTCGGCTAACCTCGTCAAAATTTTGCACAGAACACTTGTATGCCTTCGATTTTACTCCAAATTCGTCCGCGAGAGAAACAGCCAGCTGGTCGGCTTGAGGGGAGTTGTTATACCACAGAGCAATGTCGGCACCAGCCTCTGCCAAAGCCCGAGAAACCTGATATCCAATTCCACCAGAGCCGCCTGTGATGATTACAACTTTCCCGTGCATCTGGAACATTTTGAAAACGCTGTCCGGTAGCGCTGGGGCTGGGCGACGGATGCTCTGCTTGTGAACCATGTTGGACGTGACAGTGGGAGAGGGAAGGGCTGGTGTGGATGTTTCTTTTTGATCAAAATACCATTCCTCCCACCCAGTGATTCATATAGGTTCTCAGAAGACGACCCCGGTGTCCAGCCGCATTGTTGCTGTCCGGACATGGAGACATTCGTCCGTCGAATCCAACAGTGTCACTGTAATATTACTCGTGGAAGCTCCCATCGAGGTCCATCTCGGAATTCCAAGTTACGAGTGGTCCGATCTTCATGTCGGATCCCGTCCGGGACGGACACAGTCTCCGTCGACCGGACATGGCGATCCGCGCGGGGACAAAGAAAGACGGCAGAGCCCAAAGACAGGAGGAGGTGTCTTAACGTCATGCTGTAGCGAATGGACCGATTACCCCACGGGGAAGACATGCGATGCAGGTCAGACCTGCTCCACTCCCATCTAGGCCAGTTAGCTGATTCTGTCTATGCTGAGGCGCCATTGGCCTTCTATCCCTGCATGCCGAGGAGGTAGACCGGATATATGAGAGTCCTTGTCCCTCTGAATGCTCATCGGGTTTTGATTCCAATCTGCATCTTTGACCCGGTACCCATACTACCATGAAAAACCAAGATATCGTTGGTGAGGCACTGGCTTCAGTCCTGCCTCAATATGATCGTCCTTGGTTCAGAACACCGCACCTCTTAGAACTCAATCTCATTCTCATCATTCCCTTGCTGTCATCAGCTGTGGCTGGATATGATGGTAGGTAAAAATTCTCCATTACCTGAAGAATTGGGTAGCTCATCATGGATAGGATCCCTCATGAATGGCCTCCAATCTATTTCCGAATGGAAGCAGTATTTCGGTAACCCATCGGGTTCAATACTCGGTGTCGTCAATGCAGCGCAGTCTATTGGAAGTGTGATCTCGTTGCCCTTTGTTGGAATCTTGTCCGATCGTATTGGAAGACGCTTGACTCTGTTGTCGGGTGCCATCGTGATTGTCATTGCGTCAATTATTCAGGCTGCATCGGTGCAGTATGGAATGTTTGTATTTTCTCGTGTCTTGGTTGGCATTGGCTCCATGCTAGTCGTGCAGCCCTCTCCGATGCTCATTACAGAGCTGGCATACCCGACTCATCGAGGCAAGTATACCAGTGCTTTCTGGACTATGTACTATCTTGGTGCCATATTGGCTTCGTGGACAGCCTATGGTACCCAAAAGCATATGGCATCTTCAGACTGGAGCTGGAGGGTCCCCTCGATCATTCAAGCTGGATTTCCCATTGTCCAAATCTTACTCTGGTGGTTGGTCCCAGAGTCACCTCGGTGAGTTATATTTTAGGAGAGCCCGCATGAACAGTATGCTGACATATATAATTTAGCTGGCTAATTGCGAATGGAAAGAGAGAAGAGGCCGAGGAATTACTCGCTCGTTTTCACACAGCCGGAGATATATCGCATCCTTTGATCCAATTCGAGATGGCTGAGATCGTCCGCACCATTGAAATGGAAAGCCAGGCTGCGGAGACCAAATGGTCATCTCTAGTCAAGACTCCAGGTAATCGAAAGCGCACTTTCATTGCAGTTTGTGTGGGTGCCTTTGCGCAATGGAACGTGAGTGTTTTCTCGGTCGCACCAGTGTTGTCGTCGACTAATCTCATGCCATATAGGGTGTTGCGGTTGTATCTTACTACCTCACCCTCGTCCTCGACACTGTCGGGATCAAAGACTCAAATACTCAGACTCTCATCAACGGCCTATTGCAAATATTCAACTTTATTGCAGCGGGAAGTGGTGCCCTTCTTGTCGATCGACTTGGTCGTCGGACATTGTTCTTATGGTCGGCAGCAGGCATGCTCGTTTCGTTCGTGATCTGGACTGCATGCTCTGCCGTGTTTAATAGTACGCAAGCCAACGCGCTAGGCTCGACGGTGATCGCATTTGTGTTCATCTTCTACTTTCACTACGACATCGCTTATACACCACTTCTCCTCGGTTATCCGACCGAGATCTTCCCTTACTCCATTCGCAGCAAAGGGCTGACTGTGGAATTGCTGAGTGTCTATAGTTCACTTATTGTGTTAGCATTTGTGAACCCGATCGCACTTGATAATATCGGGTGGCATTACTATATCTTCTTCTGCTGCTTTGATGTTGTGGTGCTGGTTGTAACTTGGTTTGCCTTCCCGGAGACCAAAGGATACTCCCTTGAAGAGATCGCCGAGGTGTTTGATGGTCCCTCGCCTGTGACCAGTGGAGCTGTATTTGATAAAACAGTGAAGTTTGATGGGAAAGGAGAGCATATTGAGCATGCTGCCTAGTTAGTTTCTTTTGCTGGCGTATCGTGAGGACTTGTATACTTAATTTGTTACAATAGGATGGTAATCTCTTTGCTCTGCATGATTCCTCATTTGATAATTAGCATATGCCGTCTTTATCTATAGAAGTGGTCTTATACTTAAGTATAAGGTCAACTAAAAGCTATCATTGGCAGTGGTAAACTAACCCAAGCGTTTATTGGGAAGAGCCTGGCTACATAATTTCACTTCCTGCTCAAACCATCTGACTAGCCAAGCAGGCAAATCACAAGAAATCCGGTTTTCCGTGTTTGACGCGCAAGTCGGACATCGTCGCCCGCGCGGACAACAGCCTCCGGTCGGAGTTTGACCCGATGAGGGGGACACAACGTAAGGTTTCGGGCGTCAAGTTCAGGCGATTATCTTCATATATTTACATTTTATACATTTGAAACCCCTGAAGCACGCCAAAATGGTCCTTTCACAACCCCCAAATCAGCATGTCATGAAAGCGTTCGACCTCACGGGCAAGGTTGCCCTGATCACAGGTACGACATACGCCATTTGCACAAATATCTCTAATAATTTGCAGGCGGAGCTCGCGGAATCGGACTAGAAGTCTCGAAAGCATTGGCTGAAGCTGGAGCTAATGTAAAATGCCCTTTCCCTCTGTCGCCAGAACTCCAAGCTAACAGATGATCAAGGTCGCCCTGATCTATAACACTTCCAAGACCGCCGATGACATTGCAGCGAAGATTGCAAGCGCCAACAACGTACGCGCAGCAGCATATCAGGCTAATGTGGGCATTCAATCTGAGATTGAGGCCGCCGTGCAGCAGGTCGCGAAGGATTTTGGTAAACTCGATATCATGGTTGTGAACTCGGGTATTGTTTCGTCTATTGCCGCTGAAGACTACACTACCGATCAGTGGAGCGAAATTATGAAGGTCAATCTGGACGGTGCTTTCTATTCTGCTCAGGCGGCTGGACGCATTTTCAAGGCCCAGGGCTATGGGAATGTTATCTTCACAGCGTCGGTCAGTGCGACTTTGGTTAATGTGCCCCAGAAACAGGCTGCGGTAGGTGTTCCGATTATAGCTGGTTGATTTTGCTAACTATTGGCAGTACAATGCGTCAAAGGCAGGTGTTGTGCAGCTGGCCAAGTGCTTGTCCGTCGAGTGGGTTGACTACTGCCGAGTGAACTGTATCTCGCCTGGATTCATTGCTACCGACATTCTTGACATTCATCCTAAGGAATGGCAGGAGAAGTGGTTCAGCATGATCCCTGCTCAGAGAATGGCAGAATGTTACGAGTTAAAGGGGGTGAGTATTTACAAATCTCATTGAGAAATTTACTAACTGTCTTAAGGCTTATGTGTTCTGCGCCTCCGACGCTTCCAGCTATATGACTGGTGCCAACCTTGTTATTGATGGCGGATATACCTTGCCTTGAGGTACAATGTGGTCTTTAGCCAAAGTAAATAACAAATTAAAGCCTAATTACCTACAATAGATGTCATAAACGTGTATACAGTGCCACTGATGAAGTTTTGTACAGTACACGAAAGCCTCGCACTCCTTTTTCATCTCTTTCTGCCCATTTTCGAGTTCCTCGGGTTAATTATGTAGGTTGTATAAAGATGTGTGTGTGAAAGGCCTTATGGCCTATGACTGGTGCTCCATGTAATAGGTGCCCCTGGGGCTTTCATATATCCATTTCTCCATGGAGACAGGAGGCAGAAGCTTAAACACACTTTATACACAAAGTATACAGGTGTTCCTATAGACCAGATAAATCTACTCAAAGCCCGGCAGTTGATTCATAAAGTCCAAAATGGTAGATTCTTGCCTGCAGACTGTTAATACTGACTGGAATATATCTGTAGCAGAACACAAAGACTTACAGTGTGGAATCCGTGCCGTCCAATTGCGCCATTTCCAATGTTGGCCACATCAATGGGTACAGATTTGCGAGTTGCGTTTGCGGCGACTCTTCTGTTGGACCCCAACCATCAACAGAAGGATCAAAGTATGACCCACACAGAGACCGAATAACTCCCAGACAACGAGAAGCTGTGGGATTAAGCCGTGTCATTGATTCAAGCACATGCATCGCCTGGGTTATTTGATCGCGCCAGCCTGTTGCAAGCGCACATTGTGGGTCGTTGCGTAGACAGATGACTGGGATTAGAACTGCCTGGAACAGAAAATACAGTGCGTACCAGCAGGCCATCATGCTTTTCTGCTCCTGTGCCCAGAATGATGAGATAAGTTGTACTGACTCCCGCGCTGCATCTAAGCAGCGCTGGATTGCAATTTCCACTTGCATGCCATTCTCTTGAACAGTAGATGCTCCTCGTTCTGTGCGAACCATCAGGCGCCCTACTAGAAACGGGCGGTACATTAGAATACGGAAGTTCCGATATCGCCAACATACAATGGAGTGACAGAGTCGGAACTTTGGTGTTTGGACAACGTTCTCTTGGAAGAATGGCGGAATTCTAGCGAGCCAGTGTCCAATCAGTCGGTCATCCAACTCGATAAGCTCATTTGCTGATGGAAATGGCGATGATATGATCCTGGAGTAGATCTGACTCGAGGCCATATGGAACGTTGCCTGTGCTCGTAGATGGGTGTAAACAGTAGTTTCGTTGGCTGGCTGTGGTATTTGCTTCGTTCCAGACGTGACGTCCTGGGTACGAAAGTCAGAGACACCAGCATCAGTCATATGGAGGAGTAACTCACACTGTCATGTACGTTCAAAGGAAGTTCAACATCAATTCCATCGTCGGGGAAATCAAGAGGTCGGGAGAAGGTGATGATGGCGCCAACGTCGAATATATACAGGCAATACCACACCCGCCGCCTCATTTCAATGGTAAGCAGATTGGTCTCCCAGGTCGGAAATTCTTTATGCAGACCAATTCCCATTGCAATGCGACGTGCTAGTCCCATATAGTTATAGCCAGAGTTTGGCTTATTTCTCTTCTGCATATAATTTGAGATGAGAGTCAAGGCTTGTACAAGTAGCAGGTTTCCCGTCTCCAGCATATCGATAGAAAGTCGTGCCTTGGCAGCTTCAAATAGACCAAGGTCTACATCAGTAGGTTGGGTTGACGCAGTGAATGCACCCACTGCGGCCAAAACAAACAGTAGGACCTGCCAGGCATTACCTGTGGGTCGAGGAATGACTTCCATGAACTGGGCCCGGAATTTAGCCTCGTGTACTATAGGATAGGATTGGTGGTACAATGAAAAGTATGCATCCACAAAGGGTTCTAGTTGGGAGAGAGATGTCAGGGAGAACGGAATGCTACAAGGCTGCCGGCTTGATCCTTCAGGGTACGGCCTTGAATTATAGTCTTCGCTGTTCGATTGGGTGTCTGTTATCCGCAGTAATGCGGCTCCAGATGCGACGCCTACCTCGATGTTAGAAAAGTAGCTCATAAACTTGTTCCGGGCCATACCTAGATAGCCGCTTTCATTTGAACTACTTGTCAGACTAGCCATACCGTCGACAAACCTATCGCCTGTGGCCTTTCCCGTCCGTTCATCCCATTCAAAGTTACTGGATGACGGGGGAGATTCCAAGGTTAAGCCTGATGGCCCGAGGGGGCGAGGCTCGGAGGGCCCTAGTGGCTGCCTTTCTGGTGCTCGCCCTGAAGGGCCCGTGAAAGGCAGTATGGGCGCATTTGGAGGCCTGCTTGGAGTGTAGTTTTGAGATGCGATATTGGGAGTAGTGACCGCGGCAGACCCAGTCCGACCGCTAGATACTAGCCCGGCATTCCGAAAATGCTGTGCATCAGAGTCTCTCGGGGAATGCAGCACTGCTCTTTCAGGTCCTCCTGACTCTGATGCGAGAGCATGATCCAAGTTTTGCTCATCCGGAACAAATCGCTGCAGCAATGCTTTTGTTCGGGCCAGCTCGCTTTCCACCTCGCTCAGGTAGCGTCGAGTCAGAGGCGTTTTGGTTTGCCTTTCATAGACACATCTCCGACCAAATTTGTGACATAGGACACACACTGGGACAATTCGGTCACACTGCAAGTCGGTCAGCTTCTGTAGGGAGAGCTTCCAGTTCTTGGCGGCTTACCTTGGACTTCCTCCGGCGGCATTCCTTGCATGCTTGCTCTGCTATGGGGCGCTGGCGGCTTTGTACATCAGCCCTTGGGCTCTGTGTGGGCGATTCAGTAGCAGACATGAGAGCTTGCAAACACTCTGTACATCGTACAAGTACATCATACAGTGCGTCTCGAGGTTGCGGGGAGCTGAGTGGATACGGAGAAGGTCCGATGGAACGGACACCTCAATTTGAAGGCATAAACTATCGTAAGTATCCATTTTACAAGCATTCCTCTTCGATTTCAGTCAATTTATATGGATTTGCGCGTGAAACAGCTCGTCCTATACAGCTAGAGAGGCGGTCGAATAAAGAGAGTCTAATTAATTGACGCGTTTTTGGGTAGGGTGGCGGCTCGGTAGTGAAATACCTTATAACTTAGCTATTTCGGATTCTTGTGGTCAAATGTTATAAAGTGAGGATTCAGAATAGAAGTTTTAATACGAATGCCTAACTCGAATGCGATCAGGCTTTGTAGATTATATATAGTGAAGAATAGTCTCGAACTGCCATCCCGGACATCCGGCGTGTGAGCAATCAAAAATGCATCCCTGGATATGGCTTTTTATCCCTTCCCCCAAAAGCCAGAGCAAAATTGAGAGAGGGGAGAACGCTGCCTGGTTTTCAATCCGCAACGACCTTACTCGTATTTGCTTATACTAGGAGGAAGGTCCTCAATGTGAGTTCCCCAGTCACTCTCCTTGGGCCCAAGCTCGAGCTCAAGGACACCACCCTCAGCAAAAAAGTCATGAGTGAGCCAGTTGTTGGTCCACGGCTTGTCATTCCACTTAGCACTTTGGATGTAAATGGACTTATAACTGGGGTCAAAGTTGACGTTGCGGATAGTAGCAACCTTGTTGGTGACAGGATTGCGAATGCTGACTTCCTTGAAATACGGCGGAGTAATCAGGTAAACATCCTGACCGGGGACTGGCCACAGACCCATCATGCTCAGCACCACGAATGAACCCATTGCACCACTGTCGTCGTTGCCAGCGATTCCGGCCACGGTCGCGTTGAATTGAGACGGAATGTAGGAGTGACTCTGGTACGCAGAGAGACCGGGTCGTCCAGCGTAGTGGTATTGATAGACAGGCAAAAATGCCTGTTCGTCACCTATGTAGAGCAATCCGGAGTCGTGGAGATAACGCAGGCGAGATGTGAAGGACTCGGCACCACCGAGGGTCTTTATTAGAGAGCCCATGTCGTGCGGTGCATAGAAAGTGTACATCCACGCACTGCCTTCATATGTCTCGTGGCCATCGGGGTTAAGATAACAAGACGTGAAGTTCAACAAAGGACTGCAGAATATCGGATCTTGGTAAGCCCATGTCCCGTTCGGATACCGAGGCTGGAGGAAACCGGTGAAGCCCGTGTCCACGCCCTTGATGCTTGACTTTTGATCGTGCTTGAATACGTGAATCCAGTTTCCGGCTCGCATCGTGTATTTCTCATAATCAGCATGGTGACCCATACCCTTCGCCATCTCAGCAATACAAAAGTCGTTGTACGCATATTCCACTGTCCGCGAGATACTGCGAGTGTGCGTGCCCCGGCCATATGGATCAATATCCTGGAATGGAATATAGCCGAGGTGCTTCCAGCTGTGAAGACCACCACGCCCTTCGACGTCCCAGTTCGCAGGCTCCACCTCCGCATCCTTGACCACAGCCTGGTAGGCAGTATCCCAGTCGATGCCTTCGACCTTTTTCAAATACGCATCTGCCACCAACACATCTGCGTTGGACCCACCCTGTGTAAAGCCCTTGCAAAGGGACATGCGACAGTCGGGCAGATAGCCCTCGTGTCGATATATGTCAATCAAGCTGCGCATCATTAGAGATTGCGATAGCGGGTCAACCAGCGTCAGGAGTGGGTGAATGCTGCGGAACGAGTCCCAAATACTAAGCGATTATCTTGTGAGCATTCTGTTCATGCGCCTGCAATCAGATCGTCTTACCAGTAGTAGCTGTCATAGTATGGCTCGTCACTCTTCCACAGGGGGTTCTCTCCTGTGTAGTCTTGAGGGCTAATCAATGAGCGGTATGCTCCGCTCCAAAAGACTTCTTGCAGCTCAGATGAAACTCCTTGGGCATCTATGGAAATGACCCCTAGCTTCTTCCGCCAAGCAGCCTCGGCTGCGGAGACAGTGCCCTCAAAGTCGAATTCAGGTTGCTCTCGCTCTGCGTTGGAGCATGCCTGGTCGGCACTTATGAAGCTGACACCCACTCGGGCAAGAATGGTGTCGTCTTTGGGGCTGCGAAATCTGGCAAATGTGCCAGCGGACACTGTCGAAGATGAGTTGGCCCCGAGCGACAAACTCGGTTTGCTGAAGTTGACTCCATTACTAGACCAGGATCCTGTGTCACGAAGCTCCGCTCCCTTGAAATCAACGCAGAAATAGGAGTTATAACTGCCAATTCCAAAGCTTGGGCTGAAAGTACCACTTCCAGAAAGCCGACCAGTTGAGCGGTCGACGTGAGCAGTTCCATTTCTTCGTGACTGAGGTAAATCCATCAAATCAACAAGAATAACCGGGCTGAGCGGCTGGCTGGAAGTATTGTTGAACTTGAACCGGTACAAGGCAGATCGATTTGTTGTTGTCATCTCTGCGTAAACACCGTTGGCCAATGAAATACCAAAATAGCCAGGGCGAGCCTCAGGGGATTCCCTGTTCCAGGCCACCGCTCGATCCGCCTGCTGCCATTTGCACTGACGGATATCATCGCCGGGACAATTCGGTTGCGGAAAGATCGGGAAATTGCCCATCGATGGAGACTAATAGGGCGGATTAATAAATAAAGACAAAATCTACACATTTTCAGATAAAAACTTACGCCGCCGGTTCCAGAGTCGTGCATGTGCGAAAATCCGGTGACAACCTTGGTATCATAAGCGAAGCCAGCCTGGTTCTCACCCGACGTGTCTGCAACGGCCTTAGCCATGCCTAGGATTGTTAGTCTTGCGACAGAAGTTTCAATGTATTGTGGAAAAAACATACCAAATGGCAACGTCGCACCTGCAAATACATGGCCTAAGAAACGGTGTTAGGCTTATTTCCCGAGCAAAAGAGCTGTGTAGTTCTAAAACGAACCTCCATTGGCAGTTCCGATCAAAGGATCGACATATTTTAACATGTCAAAGTCATCGGTCGCAGCTAGAGCACAAGAGGCATAAAGAGCTGTCGTGAATGCACCAAGAACCCCCATACGGAGGGGATGTTCTGATGGCATGATCAACTCAAAACTATCCACAACCTTGATTCACCGACAGCTTTGAAATCCAGTATTCAAGAAGACGCGCTGGGAATTTAAGCTACTTATTTACCGATCGGTAATGAGTCGCGGGGGAAGCATTCCCCGATCGGCATGCGGCCTGCCTTTCGAGGAGCTCAAGGAAAGCGCCATCCAGTCACATCGGGGGCTAAATGAGAATTCTTCACTTCCAACCGAGTCACGTAGCATCGGTCGTGGCCAAAGCTGTGGTGTCACATCTGCACTGCCCTGCAAATACACCTTGTAACGCTTATTTGCTTTCCACCACATGGAAAGGGGCCACGGAGCGGAAAGAACCGCAAAGATGTGCAAGAAAGATGCCTAAACAGACTACCAATATAGTATTAAATGACTCGGGTCCCTGGCCGACTGTCGATCGTTGAGATCAGGGCGCGGGGGCGAGTCAATTACCCCGAGCTGCGGGGAACGTGATGTCCAGGGGGAATCCGTGAGTTCCGAGCGCTGGCCCAGTGATGGGATTGAAGCCGACTGATTCTCTTCAAGGTTCAATGTAACCCTTTCTGCGCTGCTCCGAACTGGACGTGGGACGGTGTATGAGGGGGGACAGTAGCAGTTTGCGATCGGCCGGTCGGAGTGTCGGCTAAATGTCGGAGGCCCATTTCTTCCATATATTTGGATTTTGATGGTTTGTTGTGAAATTGAAACTGTTCAAAGAAGATCCATGGTTAAGAGAGTAGATTCACGCTGCTCAAGGCTTTCTCGGTTGCAGCTTTTCATCAATCGCAGTTTCAGGTCTTCGTTTTGATAATCCTCTTGCCATCGTATGGTCGACATATCAAGTCATTTGAGAAGGACCATCTAGCGAACCATCAAATCAGGTCAAGGGCAATGCCATCCCATGATTTCCCTCTCGTTTCTGTTGGTGGTCTCGGGATGCTGTGTGAGAATGTCGAAGGGCTTGCAAGTGCAGGTTCTCGTGGCGCAAGACTGGAATTGAGATATGCTCTGATCTTTGTGTTCTCGGCCTGTAATCTCAGATGGTCCTCTCTGAGATTCACCTGATCCTGGAGCAGCGATCGATATGATTCGATCTCTTTCATCATTAATCCCAGTTGGTTCTTGAATTGCAGTTGGGCAAACTGGTCAGTCTGAGCCCCTGGGCGATTAAGATATTCCAGAACCTGGGGATACATTTCTGCAACAGGGGGCAGCTTGTCCGGTGCAAGACCAGAATCGTAGTCATCGATCCGGTTCAAGCCGGGAGGTGCCATTCGAGAAAAGCTGAAGGTAGGTCGAGAGGGCGCCGGCGAGCCTTCAGCTCTAATTGAGGTGGATCCGAACGGTGAATCTTGCGTCTGTGGTGAGTGGACACCCGAATTGGTGCCAAGAGGGCTACCTGAAGCCGAAGGCGGCAAGGGAAACTGAGGTGGTGCATGATCCCAAGCCCTCTCCCGGCAGGATGGGCAATAAAATGCATTGGCGGAGCGTACAACATCTGCAAGACATGCTGTATGATAGGATCTGCAGCATGTCTGACATCCGATAAGACTATCAGGAAGACGGCACTCCGAACAAACTATATTGTGAGGCCGTCCAGCACCTGAAAGAAGTTAGCAATAGCAGGATAATCTCGGGATTATGGTAACATACCAATCCATTCTTGATAGACGCGGCCTTGTTCTGGTCTCGATAAAACAGGCTGTGTGGAAGATATCGAGCTCCATCGTATCTGGAAGTTAGCCGGAGCTTCATCTTCAACGGATCGAACCACTGGCGAGGACATATCCCCTTGACTCAGAGATTGAGGCGTCCGTAACATGACTAGCAGTAGATGAAGGAGTGAATGACGACATGAAGATGTACAGAAAACGGCCATAATATTCTGCCGGGCGGTGAGAACGATCCCGAGTCTCGGTCGAAAAAATGCCGCGAGAAGACGTCACCGCCTTTGGATCTTGATATCAACTCTTATCTTAGTCAAGTTGGTTGTTTGCTCTGGGATGAGTTTCGATATGTGAATGCGAATGACGTTGCTGTGCTATTACAAAAGGGCACATTCCAATGACCACAATACTTGAGCACTCATATTGCGATACTATCACGTAACTCAACAATGCCTGGGGTACCCTCCAACAAGGCTTGTGAGCGTTGCAAGAAGAGACATATAAAGGTCAGTCCAAGAGTGTTTCATGGTTTTACAGTGAATGGGTGAATGGCCTCTAACTACTCACAGTGTGATGAGACTCGCCCTCACTGTCAGCGGTGCACCACTGCTGGAGTAGAGTGCCCGGGATATGTTCAAACCCGCAAATTTATTGATCAAGGAGCAACTGTAAGGCGTCGCTATGCTCCATACCAAGAGGCTCATCCCAAATCGAGCTCCGGGGGTCAGTCCTACAAAGTATGTGAAAGGCCACCTCTCCCCTCTCCTTTGATGTGAGTCCTTATCTTTCGTCATAGGCGCCCGCAGAGCATAATTTGGACTCGACGCAGCAAAGTCATTCACAAACAAGTAATGAACAAATCCCACTTAACCATCCACAAGAACATGATGGCCCTTCCCTTCACCATCAAATGGGAGAGACGAGCCTGGACTCGAGCGATGGCCCAATGAACATAGAGATGACTGGTCCTTCTAGCCGATCAGGAAATCTCCCAGGAACCACTCAGCAGGAAGCCATCAATGTATCAGGAAACCCGACTGTTCCTGTTCCTGCTAACTCTTTTGGGACTGAACAAAACACTGGATCTGCAAAAACAATCCACAGCCCAATTTCACCAACGTCTGGCACGAGGGGGCTGTCATCTTTTGAGATGGCTTACCTCGGACTATCCAATGACATGCCAGATGCTCAAAGGGGGATACCCTCCCAAACCTCATCACATCGAAGTGAGAAAGAGGATTTCCAGGATATCTTCTCGGAACTCATGACCGGAACAGAACATGAGATCGCTTTTCTCACCCGTCATTACTCTGAAGTGCTGGGTCCCTGGTATGTATATATATTTCCCTCTTATTTCACACAGCATCCTGATTTACAGTTAGGTTGGACTTGACGGATGCTCAAAAATGGTTCACAGTCTATGTTCCCATACGTGCCATCAACAATCTATCCGTCAAATACGCTATTTCTGCATTATCCGCCAAGCATCTAGGTCGTGTCAAGGGCATCAAATCTCCCACCGGAGGAATGTATACAAGCCCTGCCACAACTGAAGTCTATCCAAATGGCACGCAGGTCGATTGGTATCTAAAAGCTGCCAATTATTACTACCTTGCAGCATCTGATCTGAATAATATCACTTCGGATGGCTACACCGCCGTATCCAGCTCTGCTGTCTTGGAATCACCGTTTGAGATCGTTGGTCGGTGGTTGAACTCGCGTCAGACTCAGACAAATTTAAAACCTGCCAGTGATGATCCAAATGATGTGCAATTTGTTCGAAAAACAGAAGAGCTGTTGGCTACTGCCATGCTTCTGACCATGTATCGGCTTCTGGATGCGAATGGAGATGATTGGCATACGTAAGTTCACCCGGCAGCTTGTTACTTTTCTTATACTCACACCAGAGATAGACAACTTTCGGGAATTCGCCCTATGTTCCAATCTCTTCTCAATGTTCATTCAAAAGCATCTGCTTCTTTCTCCCATGGAATCCGGGCTGCATTCTGGAACTTCGCTCGTCAGGACTACCTCGGTTCTTACTTTACCCGATCACCTACACACTTCAATCCAGAGGACCATTCCCTCTGGTGTACTGCCGGGATTTCGATTAATGAGAAAAACGAACTTAACGTTGTCCCGAGCGGATCAACCTCTTTCACACAGGAAGACCAGGCAACGAACGGCTTGATCTGGCTTGTGTCAAAAGTAATCAACTTCCTAGCCAAATCGAAGGAGTCCCAAATCGCACAATGGACAGGCTCCCCACCAGCAAACTCACCTGAAGCTCAAGGCACATCAAGCAGCAGCCAATCATCATATCCCGATACAAGCACCTGGCTCAAGCTTTCTTTCGAATTTCAAACGTGGTTTGATGGCGTCCCTGAGACGTTCCGTCCCTCCGTGAGAATCGAGCACCCGAAGGATCTATCAAGACCCGAAGGGAGCCAGCTTCCATTCCCTGAGATTTTCCACGGCTTAACCACTTGTGCTGCCGCTATGCAGCATTATCACTTCGGGCGGATCGCGCTGCTTCTTAATCGACCACCAGATATAATGAGTGCACCATCTACGGCTTTTGATCGCTTACAGGGGTATCGAGAGGTTACAAAGGAAGTGGAGTTCCGCTCTCGTGAAGTTTGTGGTCTTGCCTTGGGCCGCCCACACGGTGGGGTGCGGATATTCATGATACCGATTCTCTACGCCGTTGGACAGTGCCTAGAGAGCCCTGAAGAACATCAGATTATTATTGATTTACTACGAGGCGTGGAGGCTGACCTGGGTTGGGCTACTGAGTATGCCGTTCAGAAACTTCAGGCCTCTTGGAATCAATAAATTGATCAGATAATGGGCCTCATCGAGTACATCTATACAGACAATGGATCGGATTTCACTGCCGAACACATTATAATGTTTTTAGGCTATTAATGCCCTCCTGGTGGTTTGAGGAACAATGACGGGCTGAGGCAAAATCAGTGGTGGCAACCACAAAAGACCTGGATCATTGCTTTGAATACGCCTTGATTCTCTCGTCACATAGTGAGCCTCATGAAGTTATCGTGGTCCATCGGAAATCAGCCCCGAGGAAGTGTGTGCCTTGGCTGTGCATGATGATGGCATACTGCCACCACGCAACCAAGGATGCTTGTGATAGCACATCTCCCGAAGAGAAACTTCACATTAATACAAATGGATTCATTGTTCTATAAAACAAGGAAATACGGTTCTATTGGGTTATAAAAATCCCCAACAGTGACTGTAACGGACCAAAAGACAAAAGGCAAGAATAAGCACGACGAATGTCTAACAAAAAAGGAAATCTTTTCATGCGCAAAAACCTTTTCCACCCATTGTATGCAATTATGCAACAATTCTATAAGCTCCTGTGCCAATTGATCATGGACACAACTCTAATCTTGAAGTCTAATTACTCCCATGATGAGAATGAGTGGAACATCTCTCCGGCAGGTCAGATCGCGATGACAGATATCGCTCGACAGGGTCTGGGTCGCCGGAACCACAAGACGACACCCTGCGACCAGCCGCCTTCCTGTCGGAAGCCAGGGTCTGCGCGAAGGGCGACAATTCTCGGATCCAGGGGCCTTTCCAGTAGAAAACGTAGATCGGAATGGTGAAAAGGATAGCCATAAAGCCCAAAAATGTGGATGGCCATTCCAGTTTGTGTACTGTACCCATATGCTGATACACTGTATATCATTAGTGGATATTCTGCTGGAGACCTCTGCAACCTTACTGGGAAGGGAATACATGGCTGCGATACCAGCAAGAAAGTCGCGCGCAAAGCCGTTGCCTCCTGTTGCCGAAGCGGCGTATGGGCCATACGATGCAATCATGTAATCGACTGTTGCCATATAGATCGCATACTTCAAAGGACAAAGATAGTCAGTAATGGACCTCAAAGAGAAGACTGTTGCGGGTTCATTACATTTGCAGTGGCAATCAAACTTGAGAAGATCATGGGTGCAATCCAATGGACGTGGGGTGGTCCAAGACTCGTCCACGCAAACCCAAACAGACCAATCGATAACAGTGGTGCCACTATGACATTGTAAGTAATGGAAGCAGACTAGCATTGGGCAAAGACTGACCCCATAGCAACCAGTAAAGGCGAGCCTCCGGTTGAAGCCCATCTGGATCTTGTTCTTGGATTCTGCAATGTCGACGAATCCATGGCAAGAACGAGAAATAGGCGATTAAGTATCCCACCATAAGTCTATAGAACGGTTAGTATGATCATCGCTCGGGGGCCTTTTGCACTCACGGAAGGAAAGCCAGCCCGGTTGTAATCGTAGTGAAGTGCCATTGCTTGTAGACCGGGGTATAAGACTGCAAGAATGTAAAGATCAGGGCGTCACTGAAGCCACTAAGAAGTGAGAGACACAGGACAATAGGCTCTCGCAGGAACATGATGAAGGGCCGTACCCAAACCATGAATACCCAGCGGAAAGACATGCGCGTCTTCTTGAGCTCATCACCGCTCCACACCATTTCCCCATTCTTGCGTCTCCGCCTCGCCTCTCTTGTAACGAGGATGCTGCATCTCGTCTCCGGAACGAAAAAGTGCATGATTTGCACAGCGCCTCCGAGAATCAGCTGGGTCCAAAAGTTCCAGTGCCAGTCCAAGAAGGTCGCCACGAAACCACCAACAACCGGGGCAATGACTGAGCCTGTCACGGAAGATAGCACAATGAAAGCGACGGCATATTGCTGGTTCTCTGGCTCCCACATATCCGCAACCATGCCCAGGGTCACAGAGCCACCGGCAGATGATAGACCACCGAGAATACGGCAAACAACTATAGTCCCAAAGTTGGGAGCCAGCGCACAGGGAATTTGCCAAATATTGACGAAGAACAAGCTCAATTGCATGATGGGCCATCGGCCAAACTCCTCGCTGAACGGGGCCCAGAACTCGCAGCCGAATGCATAAGCAATGAGAAAGGCCATTTGGCCAACGCGCGCGGCTTGCTCAGAGATGCTGAAATGCTTTGCAAATGAAGTGATGCTGCTCGCATATATACTGGCATTGAAATTCATTGAGGTCTGGACCATGAAGATGACCGAAATGATGGCCCATTTCTTCCACCAGGGAAAGCTGTAACCCAACCTGTCGTAGCATTTCACTTCGCTCAGTTCTATCTTAGGGTGGCCGTCGACCGTTCCATTCTCAATCCCGTTTGAACTTCCGCTTCCATTGGTTCCGCTCCTGCGCTCTTTCCTTTCATGGCTTGGGGGAGTTCCTCCGGGGGAGCGAACGTGGCCGCTGGAACTATCTTGCTTCTCCAGATCTCCATTGGCGTTGGGGGGATGGTCGTCCTCGGAAGCCATGGTGAATAGATTGACGGGAATCAGGCGATGTCTTCCAGAAAAGCAAGGCCCAAGAAAAGAGCCATCCTAGAATGCAGAGAGAGTGGGGGCATATACCAAGTTAAATGCTTTTCTTCTGTCTGGGAACTACTGAAGATTCTCATGGTAAGTGACGAAGATCAGGCCCGCCCACTGCTATAGATCGAGGTTTCTAGTCATCTCCGATTGGTCCGGGGAGCTGGACCCCAGCCCAACCAAGCTTTTACCAAGCTTCCCTCTCGCATGTTTTCTTGTGTGGAGGAGACATCCGGGGGGATCATGACTGGGTGTATCGTCATAATTTATGCTTCCTCCCTCCGTAGTCTGGAGATCTGGGACACAAGGGTGGCGATAGGTCGCAAATAAACTCCGATAACCCGGAGAGATGCATGAAGCCAGTTCAACGATCTCGCTGGACTTCAAATAGAAACCGAGACGAGATCGGAGCGTCCGGGGATTGGTCCGCAATGGAGTCCCCAGACTTCTTCGTATGGGGCGCGAGTGGCAATGATCTCGACGATTGCGCGTGAAAAGAATCATCAAGGGGCAATCGTAGAAAGGAATGCCGCTTCCTTACGAATTGGCAAGTCCTCAATTGACCTGCTCATCGGTGTGTCTGTCAATCTGTTAACTAGAATTGTTTATAGTCGAACCAGACGTTAAGAGCTAGTCGAACTCAGTAGTCAATATATCAAGCAATAACGTTAAGTTACTCCATAGTGAAAAGTGATCGACGCTCTTCACACGATCGGCATATCACCCACATCAACTCCCGAGTCAACCCCTTATGTCTTTTATCAAGCCAATTCAGACCGAGGTAGTCTAGAGCTCCCGAGGCAAAAAAAATAAATGACGAGTCCATATGTCAGAGACCGATAATCCGGCCGAGAATCCACGACTACAAACATGTCCAAGAAACGTCTCTTTGGCAGGGAACGCCTCAACCCCCTCAAACGCGGCAGTCTATTGTTGAGGGATTGCCGAGGAAGGTTTTGTGGCAAGGATAGGCGAGTTAATATACTTTTTCAGTGAGAGTTGAGAGGCTGAAGCCAAGGAAATGGAGCCGGTCATGTGGGGGAATCCGGGGTTGAGGTGGGTCGACTATCTATAGTGCCGCGTGGTTTAGACCCGTCATGGAGCAAATATCTCCCCTATCTGTTGACTAGTGCTCTGCTAGTGGTTGCTTTCATTGAATTTGCCTAAAATCAATGACGCGCCGCGCTAGATGTGCGGGGATGTCGTCTCTCCTTAAACTTCTGTGGCTATTCCATTGGCTTTCGGCAATGGTTCATTGTCTTTCCCGGTTCAATTCCGCACTGTAACGGCTGTATCGAAGCTTCATTTGTTTGACATAAAAACTGTCAGAGCCCCGACTGGAGCTAGGTGACATGTCTTCGAGCTGGAACACGTTCTGAGTCGTCGCAAAGCCGTTTCTTTAGGCCGTTCTCTCTCCTCCCGCAGACTTCCAGAGCCATTGTTCATGTCAAACAACCCCCCTGGGGTTATATTTATTCAAGATGGAGATGAATTACAATGAAGGGGTAAGCCTGTCCTCAAGTCGGTCGCTTATGTTGTTTCATGGGCTAACAATGCCCTCTCCCAGGCCCTTCATCAGTATGTTCACATACCCCTGATAGTCGCGCCTGCTAACCAGAACCAGGATCGAGGAAGAACTGGGGACGGTGATATACCCTGGCACGGAGATCATGGCAGATGTGGGTACTCATCATTTTGTGAAATCATCATCCACTTCCGATCGGGTGTTGGTGCCTCAGCCTTCGCAAGATCCCCATGATCCTCTGGTGAGTGATTCTTCTCTGGACAGTGACTGGCATGGTGAATAACAATAGACATACATAGAATTGGAACCGATTCTGGAAGATGAGCGCCATGACGGTATCAACGTTGACATCGTTCAGTCAAGGCTTCGGTCCGTTGGCGCTGGCTCCTATGTTTCCGCAGTTGATGGAGGCGTTCAATTCCGACTTAGCCTCCGTCGTGCAGTTCACCGGAGTTTGTATCCTGGTTCTGGGCTTTAGCAACTTCTTCTGGTGAGGATCGTATGCATGGTCTCCAATAACACTCGCTGAAACTGGTGACCCAGGATTCCAATTCAAACGTCCTATGGACGGCGACCGGTCTTGATTTTTTCGACGCTGATTTGTCTCATCAGCAATATCTGGCGAGCTACAGCAACTAGCTATGGCAGCTATATGGGCGCTTGTGTGCTCAATGGGTTTGGTGCTGGTCCTGCAGAGGTATGGGGTTGATCATTCCACTCTGATGGGCGACACTGACAGCCCACTCTAGACTTCTCAGCCTGAGATCATCACCGATATCATGTTCCTTCATGAGCGTGGTGCTTATAACACAATGTACTTCACGGCCTATTTCGGGGCTCTCATGGTAAGATACTCCCAGAATAAGGTATTGACTGTTGCTAAAATTTGCAGGTCGGTCCTATTATCGCTGGACCCATGGCTGAGCATAGTGGCTGGCGCAGCTTCTTCTGGCTGAATGTCGGCCTCTTGGGACTGACGCTCCTCCTTCAAATCTTCCTATTCCCCGAGACGAAGTGGCATCGCACTCATCCAGATGAAGGAACTCAAGGGCAACCCTCCTCTGCGCTCGCAACTGAAGAGTCCGAGACAGAGAAGCCAGTGAAGATTACACAGCATGAGAATGTAAATGCGGAAGCTGGCGATCGTGACCCATATCTGCACAAGGGTACCCCGTCAAAGAAGCAGTTCAAGCTCTGGCAGCTGGATGGGAACAACATCAAGACAGTGCTGATTAGCTTCATTACCCCATGGAAGCTGCTGACCTTCCCCATTGTGGAGTTGGCTGCATTCGTCGTGTCGTGGTCAGCTAGTTGTTTCCTCACGCTGAATCTTACTCAGAGTCAAGTATTTGCACAGCCGCCGTATAACTTCAACAGTCAATCGATTGGATTCTTCAACTTCGCGATCTTGATCGGAAGCTTCATTGGGCTGGCAACCAATGGTCTCCTCTCGGATTGGATCTCCATGAAAGCCACTCGAAAGAACAGAGGTATTCGAGAACCAGAGATGCGTTTGCCAGCAATGATTCCGTATGTTATCATCTCGATCATTGGCAACTTCATCGTTGCCTTTGGATATCAATATAAATGGGATTGGAAGGTAAGATTTCTCTCCTCTTAAAGGTTTCTCAACTAACCTCAAATAGGTGATTGTGATCATCGGATATACCGCAGCAGGAATTCAAGTCGCAGCCTTGCCAGCCATCACCAGCACATATGCAGTTGACAGCTACAAGCCTGTGGCGGGCTCGATCTTCGTGTCCATCACTGTGAATAAGAATCTCTGGGGCTACGGCTTCAGTAAGTTCATCACCCCCTGGATAGAAACGAGCGGCTTTGTCAAGCCCATCATGTTGAACATGTCACTGGCAACATTGTGGTGTCTCTGTGCCATCCCCTTCTACTTCTATGGAAAGAGATTCAGGGGATGGACTGCCAAGTCTTCGGTGCACAAGATGTAGACTCTTCGATAGCCCATTAAGCAAACAATAAATTGAAATGCAAATTTGATCGTTGCCAAAAGGCTGAATGAAATTTTCGTGCTGTCATAACTGGTATCATAAGAAATTTAAATGCAACGCTGCTGTCCAAAATTCAATCATCGTCATCATCGGGGTCATAGAGATCGAGATCCAGGGTCGCCTTGGGTTTGGGCGCTGGCGCTGGCACAGAAGCCGGTGCAGGCGCCCGCGGCATCCCAGCTGATGATCCAGCATGAGCTGCAGCCTTTGCGGCCTCGTCTGCCTGCTTTGTGCTTTCCGCAGGTTCCACCGGTGCTGGTGGTTTTGCTGCACCCCGACCGTCGGCTTCGGCGAGCAACCTTTCCATCTCTTTTTCAGGGTCACCACCTGGAGCAAGTTGAATTTGCGCCATCAGTCCCATCCGTATCCGCTCCTCCATCGGGTATGGCAGCATGTAAACCTCGCGCGTGACGTTCGCTGAGTCGTCCAGCCACTGCGTGGCGTTTTTGGTGACCGATGCCACTGGCTGTGCGCCATCCTCTGCCGATTGTTCCCCGTTGGCCCCTGACATATTCACATCCTTGCCGCCGGTCTGAGGCCCTGCTTCCTGTCGTTTCAGAGCTGCGCTCGTTGCAACGTCGGCTGCTGCTTCGTGGTTGTATTTGCTGATCCGGCGCGCGAAGTCGAGGATGAGTTTGTAGTCGATCTCTTTGATTCCTCGTAGAACTGTCTGTCTTCCTCCAAGTTCTTCATCGGAATCAGAGTCGAAATCGCTATCGCTATCACCGTTGTCGGCACAAGCTGTGCGAATGGCTTTGTCAAAGCCTTCAATGTCGCTCACGATGCCCTTCACTTGATCTTCTAGCTGCTGTGCTTCGGTACGTAATTGGAGGATCTTGGCATGGTTTAGTTGGTGCTGGCGGAGGGTTTCAATGGCGGAGGTCAACGCGTCGTCCGCTTCGAGGAGGGCGATGGCCGCCGCGGGAGCTCCCGCGGCGGTAGGGGAGGTTGTGAGGCTTGTCAGGAGAGCATTGAGTTTTGATTCAACGTCTGTCAAAGAGGACTGAACGAGGGCATTCATTGCGGATGTGTTGGAGCGCATCGTTGAAGAGAAGATGAGCTCGCGGCAAGCTTGAAGACAGGTCACGTGCAGGTATACGGGACCAGCGAGTTCGAAAAAAGCAGCAATGCTGATAGTTTCGTTGCAAGGATGAAGTTATTTGAATGCCACTGCATTGATTTGCTTTGTTTCATCTTTGCTATGGTTGGAGCGGGGGATATAGCATCGCTTATCTCGAACCCCGACCTTGTTCCTCTTTCAACTCTCTGAATATTCACAATGACTTCTTCAAACCTGCCGTCCCAAGCGGAATTGAGTCAGTGTATGATTCTCCAGTCTCCTCTCTCCCGCTGTGGAAAAGGACCTGGATTGATCCTCGTTCGGCCGCTTTCTCACGCCAAATGCCAAGAGCAGAACAAGACTCTCGACCCAGAGCCTCTGAAGAAGTGGGCTGAGGAGAGCTTTACGGTGGTACAGATCACTTTGGGCAAGTTGATTACCGACACACCTCTACAGCAGCTTATTAGCAACGCCGAGCATGCTTTACTGGAGCGCCCAGAATGCGATGGCAAGAAGGTTGGATTGATAGGTAGGATGCCCACTACTCTACAAGAACATATATTTACTCGACGCCAGTAAATGGATCAAAGGCGGACTATGACTCTCAATTCGAAAAGACATTACAGGATGTGCTAGCTGGAGACACTAAGATAGCCACTGCAATCTTATTCGACTCTTGGGACATCGCCCTCCAACCAACTCTCTTCCATCTCCCCAAGGACAAGGAGAGCAATGGAGATCAAGTCACCCACAGATACTCGGATGTATCATCTGCCAACTTCATGATCCCAGGGCATCCAGACTTCAAAATGTCAACAGCAGGGGTAGCCCATACTCGCAGTGTTGCGTTCATCAAGAAGCACCTGGGCGGCCCATTCTTTGACCTCGAGAAGATCTGGGATGAGCATACCTACTACGAGTTTGGAGATCGCTCTGTTGAGAAGACAATGGCGACGATGGTCCAAGAGCCCTATGTCAATCATGTTCCTACAGTACGTCAATCCGGAAAGAAAGTCCCGGCTGGTCAATGTACTGATTATTACAGTTAACTGGAGGCATTGGACGAGCTCGTCTCAGCCACTTCTATCTCAACCACTTTATCTTCAATAATCCCGATGATACTGCACTTGAGCTCATCAGCCGGACAGTCGGTACAGACCGAATTGTCGACGAGTTTATCTTTTGTTTCACTCATGTGAAGCAAATGGACTGGATGTGAGTGCTTCCACCCAAAATTCCAAAAGGAAATGCTGACATGGTGTACTAGGATTCCTGGTATTCCCCCTACAGGCAAGCACCTGCGAATCCCCTTCACATCAGTAGTCAACATCCGCGGCGATCGCTTGTTCCATGAACATATCGCATGGGACCAAGCGACCGTTCTAGTTCAGCTCGGTCTGTTACCAGAGTACCTGCCATTCCCCTATGCCCTACCAGATGGATCTGTTCCGGCTCCAGGAAATCGGTTCGAGTATCGTGTCCCAGCAGCTGGCGTCGAGTCTGCAGAGAAACTGGAGAATGAACATGAAGTGGCCTCGAACCAGATGTTCGAGTTTAAGATCCGCGAAGTCGAGGATCGATGAAGTCCCCATGCAACATGCACCAGTCAGATGTGAAGGAAGTCATGCCCAGATACCCAGAATGCCTAGATGCCTAGAATGCCCAGATGACCCGCTTCAGGCAACTGTCTATACTTTCAAGATTTGGCGTTTGTCGTCATGTTGCAGTAGTAGAATGTACCCCGCAGTCTGTGCCTTTTCCTCCGTTCAGCCACCGGAGACAGCTCCTCATTCAGTGTAGCGCATGAGCTTGCGATGTGATATGCTCACCCTGTTCTTTACTGACGTTTAGAGCTGACAATTTGGCTGAATCGGCAAATCGGCAAAATTTCTGCAATTCTCCTCTAAACTTGATATCACAGCACATCACCGATTGAATCTGGAACCACTATTGGCCTGTTGCATCGATCTAGTTGTCCGTCTCCACATGAGCTAGCGAGGCAATTGGGAGGGAGTTTCCCGCCCTCCGCCGGCGCTCCACTCCAGATGACGGAGATGCTTTGGTTGTTTGTTTTTACGCATAAGCGAACGAAGTGAACTTGGTGCATTAGTGCCTGACTCGGAGTCCCCGGATATGTTATAAGGATAAGGCCCGAGCTGAGGTACGTTGCTCTGTTCATTCCTCTACGCTCTTCATCATGGTTGCTGTATTGTCGCTGCTGACGCTTGCTACAGCGGCTTTGGCTGCTAAGCTGCCCGTGGTTGATCTGGGATATGAGCGACACCAGGCTATCTCATTTAACGTATGGTCGGAGTCCTCTGTTCCATATTGTCTTTGCCGGTACTAATCTCTATTGCAGAGCTCTCATGGCCTGTACAACTTCAGCAATATCCGCTATGCCGCACCCCCACTCGGCGACCTGCGGTTCCGTGCTCCTGTACTCCCAACACAAAACAGAGAACATATTCAGAATGGCTCTGTAGGCCGCGTGTGTCCTCAGGCACTTCCGCTTTGGGATACCCAAGGCGCGGCAACATTCATTCTGAGCTATTTGTATAACCAGACGTTCACCGGGTCCAGCAACATTTCGTCCTATGAATACAAACCGGCCAAACAGGATCCTCGCACCACAGAGGATTGTTTGTTCCTCGATGTGGTTGTTCCGAAGAAGATCTTCGACCGCGGACAGAACAAAACGTCGCGCCCCCGAAAGAATCTCGCACCTGTGCTGGTGTGGATCTATGGTGGTGGGTATGTTGCGGGGGAAAAGAGTAGCTCAGATGCATCTGGGCTGGTTCAGCGCAGCATGGCTGGGGGAAATGAAGGCATTGTATTCGTCTCCTTGAACTATCGAGTAAGTAATATTTGCTCAGCTCAATATATTGTAATAACTAATCCTACCTCTAGCTGGGTGCATTTGGCTGGTCCGGCGGCGACAGCATCATTTCCAATGGTACTGCCAATGCAGCCCTCCATGACCAACGCTTCGGTCTGGACTGGGTATACAAGAACATCCACCTCTTCGGTGGCGACGCAACCCGGGTTACAGTCATGGGCGAGTCGGCCGGCGGAGGTTCAATCATGCACCAGATCACAGCATACGGAGGCACCCGCGGACCTGTTCCCTTCCAGCAAGCGATCGTGCAGAGTCCCGGTTGGGTCCCGACCATCAGCGAGGAGCAGCAGGAAGACACTCTGCAGCAGTTCCTGGGCTACCTGAACGTCAGCACAATTGAGGAAGCTCGCAAATTGTCGTCTGACAAATTGATCGCTGCCAATGCATACCAGGTCGCAACTCAGTCTCAATGGGGTACGTTCACCTACGGACCTACTGTGGACGGCAGTTTTGTACCAGCTCTTCCTGGGCAGCTGTTGCTCAGTGGTGATTTTGACCATAATCTCAATATCATGGTCGGACATAACGCAGACGAGGGACTTTTGTTCACCTCGCCGGACAGTGTCAATAGCACTGGTCTGGCATCTCAACTCACGACTTTGTCACCGAGCATTCCCGCAAACGTGACCAAGTTCATCACGGAGGATCTCTATCCCGCAGTCTACAATGGCTCCTATGGATACACCGACTCGGTGGCGCGCACGGCGCTCGTCATCTCGGATCTGATCTTCCAGTGTAACACCGACTACTTCAACCGCGCATACTACAACCAGACCTACGCGTATGAATTCGTCGTTCCGCCCGGGCTCCACGGTCAGGATGTCGCCTACACCTTTTACAACAATGGTTCTAGCTCTTCTGGTGCCGTCGGCGCCCTCGGCGGTATTGCCAATGTAACTGTCGCACTGGCGATGCAGGACTTCTTCACCAGCTTTGCGCAACACGGTGTGCCCAAGTCGCATCTCGCTCCGCCTTTCAAGCGCCATGGTGAGCGGTCGCAGATTATGGCTATTGGTAACCATACTATCCAGGCGATGCGGGATCCCACTAGCAACCCGCGCTGTGAGTTCTGGCAGACTGCGCCTTATTATGTGGCATGAGGTGATATAGATCGACTCAGGCGGTTGAACCGTGGAGTCAGTTTATCTAGGGATCTGTACATAATTCATGAAACATGATTTGATGATTTCAGGGTACATGTATAGTCATTTTGGGCTGAATGAGCTCAGAGGGACTGTGAAAGTAAATTGACGTGATAATGTATAATATGGCCCCATTTTACTAAATACGCCGGAGCCCCAACGCCAAAGGTGTTTAGAGCGATCAACTTTGCTAGCATCAATGGCACACCTCAAGAGGAAAACAAACACGTCCTGGGTCGAGATTAAGGGTGGCAAAGCCTTGCATATTTAGCCCCGGGGCCGGGAATTAGGCAGCGCCGACGACATTTGATAGCTATTCTCCCAGACATAGCAGATGTCATGTGTTTAACCGGGGGCCAAATATTTATGGGCAAGACGAAGCGAACTTAGATGTGAATTCGACCTGCATCACTACCGCCAAGTAGGTAGCCTGCTCCTATCGCTAGTTATGTCCCATTGCCAATTGTCCTAAAAACTCTGCATTCAGGGTCCAGCATGCAGGCTTAGTGAAAGGTTAATGATTTTTCTTTTCTTTTTTTTCCTTTTTTTTTTTAATGCGCTTAACCAGAACGAGGCAGTGCGTGTCTCTCGCCATCTCTGTCTGGCTCGGGGGCCGCGGTCCCCGTCAAGCCCGGGCTAAGATACCCGAGACAAACATAGAACTTTTTCGATCGCCGCTAAAAAAAGTCGTTAGTTTTAGCGTCTCCGAACAGAGACACGGGTTGTGAGAGAGCTTGCTAACCAAATAGTGTTCTTTTTTATAGCAATGGAGTAACGGAGCCACGGCTATCACCGAATCTTTATTGCTTTTTTCGTATCAGCATGTTTCACTTGTACATAGTAGTACTACAGTAACCTAATACAGTAGCTCACCTATAAGGTAGCAGCCCCTGTCCGGGCAGTGCTAGTCAGTAATAGAATGGGGACATTACCTTGGGGCCAAGGATCGAGTCCAAAAATCGTACGGTACATGTACCTGTACCACTGAGGTGAGGCTCTAGGGAGATCGACCATGGGAAAAAAAAATACAGTGGATACAGCCAGTCAAGCCTTGTCACCAAGGCTAAGCAAACTAGCACTAAATCGCTCAGAATTAGGCAGATAATAATAGACCTGTCAAGTCCAATCAAAAGGAATGAATGGAGCATGTTCGGGACCCGCTTGAAACATTGGACGCTAAGCTTTCAACCCTGAAAGGACTCTTGAAGTGGAAATTGAGGTTATTTTCCACGGTTATCACAGAGTTAGGTTTAGGCTGCTATATTCCACATCACATCCACCCCACATCCACTCGTGATTCTTCTATGCTTCTCGGACTGACAGCCATTCCAACGTAATTCCCCCCGGAGTCGTGGGGTCCAAAAGTCTTAGCTTCCCCTCTCAGCCGTGCAATCGGCTTCTTTGTTACTTATTAACCTCTTGGCCTCGTTTTCCTTTTTCCACATTCCCTTTTCTTTCCATTCCGTCTACTCTCTCCTATTCATCATGCGTCTCCCATGGTTGGCCCTCTGCCTGGCTGTCGCCTCTGCAACGTCCATCAAGTCTCATCAACTCCGCCTTCCTTTTGTTCCTTCGCCCGATGACATCGAAACCGGCGTCAAATCACTTCTGGTATGTGCACCCTCGAGAATACACAGAATCCACAGAATACACATATTCTAACAATCCACAGTCCATTGACTGGTCCATCAAAGATGGCAACCTCTACGCCAACAACGACCAAGTCTACCCCCCATCAACAACAATGCAACTCACAGCGCCTCTCTACCAAGCCTCTCATCCCACCCAGAGTGATAAGTCCGTGGAATTGACTTACACCATCCACAGCCGTCCCCTCCCCGCAAATAATGTGGGTTCGGTAGCGGGTATTGTCCGGGTGCGCATTGAACTCCACGATCTACATGGGAACCTCGTCTCCCCCGACGCTACAGTCGTCGACCTGGTCAGTTACCAGGATGGTTCTCACCAAATCACTCGTGTCCGTGTGCGACCCGCGCGCGGCGGTTACCAGGCAGATCACTTCGCGCAGAAGAGTCGGCCGTGGGTTGTGAAGTACTGGAAGACGCATGTCGGGTCGTTTTTCGATGCGAAGACATCTACCTCGATTGCTGAGAATGATTCGCAGCCGACTGAATCGCAGTCGACTGATTCCGAGGATCACATTGAGATCAAAGATGCTTCTGCCGACTCCGACTCCAACTCCAACACTGAGTCCGAATCGCCTTTCTCTATTTCGTCTTTCTGGGCTGCGCCTACTCAGCCCCACGATCGTTCTGGTCACCGTCACCCGCACCACCACCACCGTCCGAAGAATGCTTTCATGCGCATCGTTCGCCCGATTATCCTACCCGCTGTGCTAGGTGCGGTCGCCGGTCTCGCGGCCTGCCTGCTCGGCTTCTTCATTGGATCTCTTCTGATGTCTTTCTCTGCCCGCGTCGGGTGGCGGACTTCACCCCGCTACTCGCAGGATGTCTCGCTTGAAGAGGGTACTCATTCTGAGAAGTCGCCCATGGTGCCTCGGATCCATCTGACCGTGCCCGAGTCGGATGTATGACCGGTCTACCGGTTTTTCGAATCTTGTTTTTCAGCGTTTTCCTGCATCAGATACCTGGCATCACTGTGCCGTTCCTATTTCCTTTTTGTCATACCTGTTCTATCTCGAGTCTCTGTATCTATTATCCACTCACTATTATGTGTATCACGTGGAACGTTATACCCAATACCACTATTTCCAAACATGAAGCACATTTTGCCCTGGTTCTTCAACAAGTAGGCCGGCTGGCCCAATGGCAAGGCGCTTGACTACGAATCAAGAGATTGCAGGTTCGACCCCTGCGTCGGTCAATAACTTTTTGGATTTTTTTCCCTGGGGATTGCAAAGTTTTTTTTGTCTCCACCGGGCCGAGCGGGTCGGCATCGAATATATGGGAGTAGTTCGGTTACATGTGAACTATGGCATCTTTGTTTTTTTTTTATTGCCGGTCTCCGTAGGTTCTAGTATAAGCTTTGATTAGACAGAGACTAGACATGGACTACTGAGTAAAGATTCTAAAGTTTGATCTATAACTAGAGAATGTTGGCAAATTGGCGACCCACTCGTATTGTATGGGACATGACTTCAAAATATATATCTGCCTAGTCAACACCACATCACTTGCGCTGAAACCAAATCTTCTCCTCGCCCAAAGCCGGCTCTAGGTCCAAACCCATGGCTCTAGGAAACCCACAGGAATCAATGATAAATTCCGCCTTGTAATACCCACTAAACATCCCAATGGACTTTGGCTGGAAGAAGTACCCCACGAAGAACTCCCCACTGGCATGCTGGAAGGACATAATCCCTGCTGTAACACGGTCGAGCAAGTTGGCACCCAGGTGCCCTTTCTCTATGTCAAGCGTGATAGCTCCAAACCCGGGATGCTCGTATCGCCCCACATATTGGTGTAATGGGAGAGAATGGGGGATGGGCGGATTAGGCAGACATGGATAGAGGCGTTTCATCGCTTCGCTCATAGTCTCGGCCTTAGACATAGCTTTGCTTCGTGACTCGGCTACGTGGCTCTGGCCTATTGTGCGAGGAATCGCTGGTCCGCCGGATATCTGGTCGAGGAGGTGCAGGAATATCTCCACCTCTGCGTGTCGCCCATTCATTGTGTTGCTCATCATTGCGAACCCGAATCCCTTACTTGGGAGGAAGCCGACCATTATACCGAATCCCGCCCAGCTTCCGCTGTGCCAGTACAGTGGCTCGCCGCGATAACTGTGTATAAACCACCCGAGGGCATAGAGCTGGTGTGGTGCTGGGGGTGCGACGAGGTCGCTCATGTCTGTGATTACGGTTCGTGGTTGGACGAGTGCTGCATGGCCTTCTGGTGAGATCGGTCCCGTTTGGTAGATCATTGTTCGGAGCCATTTGGTGTACTCGTGGACATTGCTGACCATGGCGCCGGCGCCTGTCACGGCTTCATCGGTCATGTACGGTTCTGCGACGTAGGTGTTTGAACCTACGTCCCAGGTGTAACCTTTTGCCAATCGGCGACTGAGAGTTGGATCCTTGGAGACTTCTTGGACGGAGAAGTGTGTATCGTTCATTCCGAGGGGTTCTAAAATGCGTGTTTTGACGATTTCGCTGAAAGGTCGGCCTTCAATTTGTTCCAGGGCATGCGAGACCGTCATGTACATGTGGTTATTATAGGAAAAGGTGCTGCGGGGTGAATATTTCATAGGTAGATGTCTCAAGTATCGGACTGCCTCGCGCAAAGATCGATTTGGTTGTGCGAGACTAAGGCATGCATCGTAGGTTGGTAGTCCTGACCGGTGTGAGAGAGCATCTTCTATCGTTGTATGATTTGTACTATAGTCGTTCTCTAGCACAAAGTCGTCGCGGATAATGGATGCAAGTGGTGTGTCCCAGCGAAGAGGAGACTCGGTGTTTTTGCTATCATCGATCGTGAGAGAGACAGCAGCGGCGGCGAAAGCCTTGGTGGTGCTACATGTTGAGAACAGAGTATCGGTGGTCATTTTCCGATCAGGGAATTCGGCCATGCCGTATGCCTGAGATTATTGAGCATAGAATAGTCAATTGGTTGGTGTATCTACCTTTGACCAGGTGCTGGAGCCGTGGACTATCGCCATGGTCAGTCCGGGGACTTTCCATTTGTCCATTTGCTGCTGTACCAAGGCATCGAGCTCGGGCGTCAATGGCGAGCTGGTGCTTCTAATGACCATTTTGAAAATAGCTAAAATTGGTGAAGGGATTGAAGAAGAGTTGATGCGGGGAAGTTCTGATAACCCCTGCCTCTTTCCCTTTGGCTTCTTATAGAGCTGACCGGAACCCCGACGGACCACCGTCTCACCACTTCAACATCGACTGACATTATGTTCAGTTATGAGCAATCTAGGCAACTCGATATTGACACAAGCTATACTGCAATTTGAGTCGGACTTCTACTTAAAAAGTAATTGCGTAGAATTAGTACAACGTTACGCTTCTAACGACGGTAGTTTGTTAACAGAAAAGCCAAGATTCGATAGATTCCAGAGCGTGCGATAGCCAGAGCATTATTTCTCCATTGCTATCAGGCAATAACACAAGATCAGATTTGAAGCAAGCACAGAGAAAAGGAAACTTGACGGGTGCTACACCCTACAGTTTATCTTGGATCTCAAGTAGAATTCGTTCAATGACCTGGGCGCCCTTCAAAAAATATGAGCCCTTGACATACTCTAGGTCAGTTGACCCTGCACTCATTTCATAAAAGCGAGCTCGGTTTCCGATACCCACAATCCCATACAAGTCCTTATCTGCCAGACGTCCTCTGGTGCACCATTTAAGCATATAGTTTCTTAGTTGGACCCTCGTCTTGCGCCACCCCTTTGTTCCTGTATACCGATCTAGGTCGTAAGGGAACTTATGAATCACGAAACCCGTGCGAGGCGTTGTTGCCATAATACTGGTAAATCAAGGACTGATTAGCGTATCTCCTTCACTAATGCTGTCCATAGTTTGATATTGATAAAGCCAGTCATGCTCGGATACAAAGACATCCGACAACTTGGTCCCGCTTGGGGTCGAAGGGATCAAACAACTATGGCCGGGTAATGTTTGAGCCACTGGGGAGCGCATATGGGGGTGAGAGGTGAGACTAACATGCTCGCCATTCTGCCAGCCAAGAAGCTATTATGATGATGATCCATTCACAGGAGACGTAGTGACGCTGTTATGGTCATCGATAATCGTATTATTCATACCAGAGTAAAATGATAATTGTAGTAAATGAATGATTGCAACAAATAACTGTGCAGCCAGAGGTACCCAAAGGCGAGACGATCATGATGATATCAGTCTGTGTCGCACTTCGTCATTCGGCCAGAAAAGCTATATATTCTGCTATTCATCTTGTCGTCGCTATGCTACCATGTTTGATAATACCGATAGCGCTTGGCTATTTATGTAAAGTCTGCGTTATTAGGCGCTGCGGTAAAGGCAAGCCTGGAATTATCGTAAACTAGCTCGAAAATGGCCTAAGAAGGGTTGGAAGTCGGCCATTTCGATGGGGTAAGATACTCTTAGGAATCAGTATATGCGCAATGTGACTTCGCATATGCATTTTGTTACCATATAAGCTGATATATAAGCCGATATTGGGACACAGCCCACAGTTTTAAAATTGACTCATCCCGAGATGATGGACAAGGCCAGCAGGCGTCAATCATGAAGAGGTATTACGCCAAGGCTTAGAACTCTCAAAGGACCATGTTACTGTAGCTGTAGATGTATCATAAAGGCTGAAAGGCTGGTCTGGAGCTAGATGTCTCGGCCAAATCTTGGAAGCAAGGGCGTGAAAAGCTGAAACGACGACAGGCTGTGTTATCCACGAAGGGAGCCCCAGCCCCCGGACCCCGTCTTTGGAACCCGTACCACAGGGGCATCATGCAAATTGATTGAGCCTTGGGTAGGAAAAGCTTGGAATTTCCAATTGAACGTGCTATGTATGCTAGTAAGAGAAGTTCCGCTGAGTACAGCGAAAGTCCCCAGGCTGAATGTACTGTAGCTATATTTGGCTTTAGCTTAGACACAAGCATTGCACTCCTTGCAGCGAGTGGACTTTTTGGGTCACGGGCATTATCTGCGAATCCACAGAGAGTCACTACATGTATGGGGTTTGACGTGGACCAGCGGGGCGTCACTGGAGCAACAGCACGACTGAAACGTCTTCAAGAATATGCCTGCCGTTGAATGTGTAGACGCCAGAGATTCTTCAAGATGACCTCTTTATTGCCAGCCACACCGCTCTTATAGGAGTAAAGCTGGATTCCACGTGACACCTTCCAGATTGGGAAGGTCGGACATCTCAGCGCGTTCGCGCGTTTGACTTTGTCAATCAGACCAGTATGAAATTATCAAATGATCAGTGAATTACTAGGGGCTAGTGACCATCGAACCGAGCGATCCCTTGATCTTCATCGCAAAGTCTATTGAACTAGGAAATTGGATGTTGATCGGCTTTTCAAGGCCCAAACCCATCGGTGAATCCCCAGGGCCGCCCATGTGTTATGCAAGGGATTGATTCCCTTTACATGAAACAAGTCTCCGAGAATTTACACCTGCAACAGAGACTGCAACACTTAGAGAGGAATGTGGCTGGGGAATGTTTGTGGCTTGGGAGCGGTGACACGAAGAGACTTTCAATAGTGCGATCGGACTCTCGACGTATCCAGCGACTATTCGGATTAGTTCCAAAGGATCTCAGTGTCGATCAGCCCCACCAATGGCCTCTGCCTCGTTTGTTCATTTACGGAGTACCGCAATCTATTTCTTCGGTGTGACGCCGGTGGCACATTTGCTGCATCCAAGACCGTCATGGTTTGTGCCATGATTTTGGAGCGACAAATGCACTGAATCATGCAGCCTGCACGATGCATCATTTGGAATCAGAGAACCAGATCGCTTTGTTCCAGGGGAACCCATGAAAGGCAAATCCTGGGCTTCAATGGAGCCTGATGGGCCCCTGTGTGGCTTGACCCATTGGACCAGCGAATGAGATCGACATATCAGAAAGGGTGCAAGCTATCTCCGGTTGATCAATCCTTATTCGAGAAAGTAGATCCAGGTTGTTGATATTGGTGACTTCATGCTACACAGGATCAGGCCACAGTCCAATTTACCCACGTTGGCGAGGTAGCAATGTGCCAACACTGTTGCCCTGCAAGGGAATCCACACGGCTGATCCTGCATAGCCATTGGGCTCCAATGCGAGCTTCGTCCACTACCGACACTCAATTTCCAGTCCGGGGCAAGTGGCTGTGACTCGGCTACATGCAGAGTTTGATTCTCAGCTAGGATTTGCAGATCCCATTTATAAAACACTAAGCCCTTGCTCTCAAGTTCAGTTCTGATCCTTCACATTCTTCCCTTCACTTCTCAACACCTCCATATCCTCTACCTCTCTAGTCAATTGAGACTTTTCTCAAACATCACAATGAAGTCCTTCTCTCCTATTGCCCTGGCCCTTCTGGCCGCTGCCGGCTTCGCTGTTGCCGACCCTTCTGCGTCCGATTGCGCTGTGAGTACTTACTATCTTTGGGTCTTCAACATCGAGATCCAATGCTGACACTTTGTTCATAGCAAATGTGTGTCTCCAACATGAACAACAAGGCTTCTGAGCTGGGCTGCAAGCCTGGTGACCTGTCCTGCCTTTGCAAGACCGACGACTACAAGTTCGGTATCCGCGACTGCACCAAGCAGGCCTGCCCCAGCGACGACGCCGAGAAGGTCCTCTCCATGGCCGTTGCCAAGTGCCCTGGTACGTACCCTGTTGTGATCTGAAATTTCTCTGAAGCTAACATTATATTGCAGGCGGTGTTGCTGGCTCTGATGCTAGCTCTACCTCTGGCTCCGGTTCCGACTCCAGCTCTACTGCCTCTGGCGCCGGGGCTGGCTCTGACTCCACTGGCTCCGTGACTGGTACCTCGACCGGCTCTATAACCGGTGCTACTGGTGCCGCTGGCTCTACGACTGGTTCCATCACTGGCTCCGTGACTGGCACCGCTACCGCCACTGGCTCTGTAAGAAATATATCTATATCTACTCAATTGACCACGCTGACACCTGCCCAGGGTACTGGCATGTCTGGCTCCATGACGACTATGACCAGCACCGGCACTGTGTCCGGCTCCCTTACCACAATGACTAGCACCGGCACTGCTGCCTCTTCCACTGAGACTGGCTCCGGCAGCTCCAACTCCAACTCCGGCTCCAATGGCTCCGGCTCTTCTGACTCCAGCAGCCAGTCCGACTCTGCCTCCGGCTCTGCTGCTCCTTCCACCAGCACTGGCGCTGCTGTCCCCATGGCCACTGTCGGCAGTGGTGCTATGGGTGCTCTCGGCCTGGTCGCTCTCCTCGCTCTGTAAATTTACCCATTTATGTGATGGAGCATAGTTTCTCTGGTAATCTATGGGTTATGAATCATGTGTCGCCGTTTGGCTTGTATAGGTACAGGATATGAACCGAGGTCATGATTAGTACAATAATTCTTATTCTCCTGCTCTTCGAAGCTGTTAATCTAATGACCGACTTAATGAATGGAATATGAATGACATTCTACACATATACGTCTGTTGTTGTACAGTAAGGCTGTGTTTGTTATATATGTAGATCTCCATAGTAGCTGTTGGCACATGACCATGACGTCGGGAGCATGTGGATTTCCATGTGATCATGACCTCGGTGTATATACTTGTCTATGTCCAGTGTACCTTAGATGTTTCCCTATAGCTTCAACCTGGTACTATTGAATGTCCACATTACATCAAACTACACCGAGTCCCAACACGGGCATCCGGCATCCTTTATTCCGCGGGGAAACGTGGAGTAGTCCAACCGTGTTTCCCGTTCACCCGAACGCGGCGGTCCCCGACGTAATAAAAGCAAACCATCGAAGCAGAGAACCATTATATCTTACAAAAGAAAGCATCCATAGTCCAACGTCCAATTTTTAATAGTTGACTTGAGAGTCAACTCGCATATCAACGGGAAGCCGGTTTCTCCGCTGCCGAGCCGAGGCACATTACTTCATCTGGGGAAGCGCTATTCGGCTTCGGTCATCATTTCTCGCGGGTCTTCCATTTCTAGGTCTTCGGTGGATTAGCTTCTCTACCTATTCTCTCTTCTCTCCTTTTCTTGAATCCTATGCCCTTCTCTCCACGCCCCGAGTCCACAATGTCGACTTCCACTTCCTCCCCGCAGCAGCTGAAAGATGAGCTCAAGGTCGCTGAGACCAACAAGCAGACCACTGAGACCAAGGCCGTCAACCAGACCATTGCTCAGCTGCGCTCTCTCGGTGCTGGTGCAGCTGGTGGTCTTTGTGCTGTGATTGTGGGACACCCCTTCGATCTGGTCAAGGTGCGCTTGCAGACTGCTGAGAAGGGTGTCTACTCGGGTGCTATGGATGTGGTGAGGCGGACAGTTGCCCGTGAGGGATTGGCCAGGGTATGAATTCAATCATTTAACGGAATTGGATCATGCGACCAACTGACATTGGTTTGTAGGGTCTGTATGCTGGTGTCTCTGCGCCCCTCGTCGGTGTTACTCCTATGTGTAAGTTTGCCCTGTTATTGACCTTGGCGGGTCTCATATGAGCAATTAGTCGAATTTGAGCTAATATTTCCTGTCACATAGTCGCTGTCAGCTTCTGGGTATGTTATATTAGATCCTGAATAGCCCGCAATCGCCCGGTCGGAAGCACTGCTAACACCGCACCAGGGTTACGATCTGGGCAAAACCCTTGTGAACAAATTCTCGGTTGTCCCCATCAGGCACGATACTCCTCAATACTCCATTGCACAGATCTCCGCGGCCGGTTTCTTCTCGGCCATTCCCATGACCTTGATCACCGCGCCTTTTGAGCGTGTCAAGGTCCTTCTCCAGATCCAGGGTCAGAACCCTCCTCCCCCCGGCCAGAAGCCCAAGTACTCCGGTGGTACCGATGTCGTGCGTCAACTGTACAAGGAGGGTGGTATCCGCAGTGTGTTCCGTGGTAGCGCCATGACGCTGGCTCGTGATGGCCCTGGTTCCGCTGCGTACTTTGCAGCCTACGAATACATCAAGCGCTCGTTGACCCCCAAGGATGAGAATGGAAACGTCACCGGCGAGCTGTCTCTGTCCGCTGTTCTGTGCGCTGGTGGTGCTGCTGGTATTGCCATGTGGATTCCCGTCTTCCCCGTCGACACAATCAAGTCTCGTCTGCAGAGCGCACCGGGTAAGCCGACTATCGGCGGCACCATCCGGTCAGTTTACGCCAGCGGTGGTTTCAAGGCCTTCTTCCCTGGCTTCGGACCGGCTCTGGCTCGTGCAGTGCCTGCCAACGCTGCCACTTTCCTTGGTGTTGAGCTAGCTCACAAGTTCATGAAGAAGCTCTTTGACTAGGGATGGAATAGTGTTTGTAGATACTTTGGTTTTTTGCAGCGTTTTGTGTCCCATCCACGGATGGTGATTTGATTTGACTTGGTTCGCATCTGTATGTTTTAGATGTCCATATCCTATAGAGTCCAAAAATTGGGGCGTTACCTATAAAATCAAATTGCAATCTAGATGTATTCGAAAATCAGCAAATCATAGGCGTATGGAGCATACCCACTTTGCCTGAATCATTGAGGCTCAACACCACCCTTCATACAGCGCTAACGGGCTTAACAAGCGAGTTAAAGGATTGGCGTATTCCAAACATGATCCTTAGCGCTAACGTTGGGGGCCAATTACCGGCACAGTCGGAGCTTCAAAGGCCCGATCTAGGGGGGTTCTATATTTATACAGACTGTAAGTCTTCATTTTCTCTCTGCCATTTGCCATTTGGCTGTGAAAGAAAAGGAATTAATTCCACTACTGTTAATTCCACTACTGCACCACGCATCAAGTATTATTTCAAGTCGAGTCAAGGCTACCCAGAGTGATGTAAAAAGGGTACGAGTCAGATACTTCCACTTGTATGTGGATACCCAGCAAAGTCCAAGTACCGTAAGAGTACCGTAAGCGCAGGCGCTAGTGGTGTGTTGCCTGCTCTGCCTGGTCTGCTTTGTATTCATAAAGGGCCCATTCCCCGCTCCGTCTTACTTCCTTTTTCTCATCATTTTATATAATCTGCAACATGTCGTCTGTTAGCAGTCATCTTATGCGCCGGGGCACCGAGCTTGCTGCCGCTCACTTGCGGGGGCCTGCGAATAATCCCAACACTTCAGAGCCCCATGGAGGGCTAGTGGCTCTCTTTGCCATCACTGGTGTTGTGTTGGCTCTGATGTTCTGCGCTGTAAGTTGATAGATATCTTTTGGATATAGTGTTACTGACACTCAATAGGTCGAGTATACCTATGGCATGTTGATTGCGACCTTGGCCGCGGTCGAAGATACCAACCCTGACATTTATGTTCGCATTGCATCCGAGCCCGACCCTATCAAGCCCACCGATGAGGAAGAGCCCCAGCTCGGTGCTGCCACTCCCCTCAAGCCCATCACCAGCAAGCTGCGCACTACCGTGAAGCACCTGCGCTCCCGTGCTGGCTTCTGGTCGCGCTTCCGTGGTATTGGCATGTTCGTGGCTTATTCTGCTGCTCGCGGTTTCCTTTCTTCTTTTGTTCCCATCCCTACTACCTTTTACCTTGGCCAGTTCTTCGTTCACTCCATCTTGAGCGTTCTGCTCGCTACCTGGCAGATGGCTTGGGTCCACATTGTCATCTCGGAGCCCTCCCCCAAGCGCTTCTATCAGCGTATTCCCAGTTACAAGTCCTGGATTAAGATTGCCCCTGCGGCTGCCGTGGAGAACATCCTCACTGCTGCTGCTTTCTTCATCCCGATGTCGATTGCTAACTTTGCTGGCTGGCTCGACTTTTCCAACGACAAGGAAGTGCCAAACATGGTGGCCTTGTTCCGTTTCATGGGTGTCAGCGTTATTCCCGCTATTTTGGCTTTCCTGATCTCTATCCCTGCTCGTGTCGTCTTTGTTCGTGTGGCTGCTTCTATGCTTCCCGAGGAAGATGAGACCATCGTGCCCTTCGACCGTTCCTTCGGTGGTAAAGTCAACCCTGCTATCACCGGAGGCAGTGGCAAGATTGGTATCGTGGATGCTTGGACCACTTTTGACTGGGCTGCTCGTGTTCGCTACGCCAAGGTCTTGGGTAAGACCTTTGCCATTGAGGTGGCGCTTGGTGTCTTCGCCGCCCTTGTGCTCGGTGGCCAACTCGTTCTGATGATGAAGACTGCCAAGCCTGTCAAGGACGATTCTCCCGCATTTTAAATCCATTCGGAGTATAAAATGCAATGAGATGTATGGATCGTATGGATCGCGACCTATTATAGGGAGGAAAGGCGGGATATGAGTGCTTGGATGCTTCTATCTTTACACGACTTTGGAATGTTATAACCTGCTTATATATATGAATACCGTTCTATATGAATACGAAACCACCACATCATCCGTAGTTGCCCATGGTTCATCTCAACCCGGAATCTCCATCTCACCGCCCCCGTCACCCCCCCGCTTCGGGCTCACCGCCTTCATTTCTTTTTGCTTCCCCCTCATCTCTCGCCTCTCTCAACCTCGATATTGGCCTCAAGTTTGAAAGGCTCCTTTTCCATTTTCTCTTTCCTCTTTTGTTCTCTCCATAACTTCCACAATGGCGACTTCTCCCGCGGGCCGCATGCTGGGCCGCCAGCTGCAGCAGATGCAGTCCGATAAGGACATTCCCGGGATCAGTTGCGGTCTGGTCGATAACAATGTCTTCGAGTGGGAGGTTATGCTCATGATCTCGGATGATGTTAAGCTATATGGAGGTATGTCTAGGCCTTCGTTCAGCTCCCCAGGGCTGGGATCTGCATATATTCTACGGCAACCGCACCGTGTTCTGGACCATAGTTCTTGGAAATGTAGAACATGCTAACATGCTCTGCTTGCTGATATAGGTGGTTTCTTCCGGGCTCGTCTTTCCTTCCCCACCGAATATCCCCATCGCCCACCCAAGATGAAGTTCGAGTCGCCCCTCTTCCATCCCAACAGTATGTGATCTCCCTTTTTGTGGCGTCGATGTGCAGATACCGGTTTTATACTTGATATACTCACACGTGACTACTTTTTTTTTAAGTCTATGAGAGCGGTGAAGTCTGTATCTCTATCCTGCACCCTCCCGAGGAGGACAAGTACGGTTACGAGTCGGCTGCCGAACGCTGGTCCCCTGTCCAAACCCCCGAGACCATTCTTCTGTCCGTGATTTCCATGCTCTCCAGTCCCAATGATGAAAGCCCCGCCAATGTGGAGGCTGCCCGCCTATGGCGTGAGGACCCTGCGGAGTTTAAGAAGCGCGTTCGCCGATGTGTGCGTGACAGTTTGGAGGAGTAAATGGTCGAATGATTCACGGCAATATAG